CAACCACACGTACCGCAAAACTGGGACATATAGCAACAGCATACTATGATAGTGCATACAGTAAGTAAATGGATCTTTTTCCCTCCCCGCCTATGAAACAGACAGTTCGCCCTCGGAGAGCCCTATCCACCAATCGTCGGCATGATGGGGCCGAGGGATGGGAAAGATCGCCCACAGCAGGTGGATCCCCCGCCCTCTTCGGATAAGCTTCTCCAGACCTTCTTTCTGGTGATCGACGAAGGAGGAAGGGTGGGAAAAATATTGAACAGGGAGATGTAGCCAATCATTCATTCGTTCCGCCCTTTGCACACAACGGTTGATGATCTTGTGAGCAAAGCCAGCTGGCAAGCCGACGGCTGGAGTCTAGCCCTACGAAACTTGGAGATGATGCTATCAGCAGCGCCAACGAATGTGTCACGACGAAGACTATTGAAAAGGTAGGGCAGAACGAATAGAGATAGCCGTCTGCATGAGGCAGGGGGATAAGAAAGGAAAATGGAGGGGAAAGATAGAGAAAGAAAGAAGAAAAAATCATCTGCCGGAGGAGAGTGACTGCAACCACATCAGCCCAACAATAAGAGTCTCGATTCCCTCCTACTGCATGGAATATCCACTTTCCCATGAGCACTGTCCCAAACCTCACCCTATTCCACACTTTAGCCTACGACCCGATTTGGCAAAGTGACAATGCCAACAGGACAAGAGCGTGGCACGGTGGGTCGGTTAGTGCCCACCATTTGCTGCAGGTGCTATCAATGTGTGTTGTTTGGTGTCTCCCTATTTGTCCATTCAACTCCCTCTTGGGGGTCAACGCCCGCCTGCACAAGTCTTGTGGCACAGGGACGGCCTCGAACCGATCAGCAAAAATTAGAGGGCCATCTACTATCTTATGCACTAAGAATGTAAGTAAGTAGGGAAAGCCGGGTAGCCTCCGCCGCCCTCGTTCGGAGTGGGCGCCGAGATCTGATGTGCGCGCGCCGTGATTGGCTCCTGGAGGTTCTGTGAAACATGAGAAAGGCAGGACAAGGGAGAAAAAGAAGCCGGCAGGGAGAGAAATATGTGTCACGGCCGGCCGGCTATGATCGCATATGCCAGAGACGAAAGGCAAAAAAACAAAAATACCTACGAGCTGCTAGGGGTCTGGAGGGAGGGAAGGAGACCAGGTGATCAAGAGTGCAGGCGAGCAAGTAAGTGGGCATGGGGCCTCCCTTGCTTCTGTTGGTGTTAAAGATGATGTTGATCAGGCTTCTATAGCAAAGTAGTATCGCCTGAACAGAAATTAAGTGGTAAGCATAAGGGACGAGGGTCAAGGTCTCGATTCCATGTCGCTGGTCTGCGAGTGGATGAACATCCTCCTCCTACTTTGCTGATCTTTTATCAAGATCAGCCAGCCACAGCAAGCCCTTGCCTACGAACGACTCGAGATTTTGCCACGAGGATGACACTGCGGACCGAGACAAAACTCTGTCTCGACAATACTTCCTCAACCTGCTGTAGTATCAACGCCACAACAGATTGCAACCAAAGTTTTGCAGCAGCATCAAACGGTAGCGCCACTGTCATCATCGTCATCAATATCATTATTCTTCACAACCCACCACTAAATTTTCCCAACGCCGACACTCGGTTGGATGTACCGTCTTTCTGGGGTGTGTGACATATGCAGCTGACATGGAAAATTCTCCAAAGACTCCGGGGCACCTGGGAACCAGGCGGCGTATGAGGGAACCCGGCATTTTCCCCTCCCTCCCGGGCTGGACTCCGCCTCGCCCAGCGTACCCAAACCTCATCTGACGAGTGAGTACTAAGGCCTTCGATCCGCGACTAGGGATCCAGATCTACCATGACCCCCTCCCTCTCCCAGAAGAGGTAGCCTGCGAGATAAATCGCGTCCGCCCTGGTACTCACGGACCAAAAACTCCAGCCCGCTGCCCGCAGGCTAAAAAGAAAGGCTCGCGATATGTGTGACAAGGAAAAAGAAATAGCTGAACAAAAAATAGAGACGGCGTCTCCTGGTGGTGGGGGACGGTGGGATGGCCTTCCATAGGAGAGGACGCCCGGGACCCGGGGCGGAGCACGTCAGTGATACAGTAGGTGGTTGTCATTTGGACCTGTCACCTTTTGGAGAGTTTGGACGCCGAGGAAATGTGGCGGATGACACTTGACTGTGCAGCGATGAAACCCGGATGCCACCCACCACCTTTTTTTTTGTGCATGTGGAAGGACGAAGATGCCCAATAGGGACAGCCGAGGCCAGCTCTTATTTTTACTTTGATCTTATTCTCTCTTCTTCTTGTTTTGTGTATGTCTCTGTGAAATGTGTGTCTGTATGTCTCGGAATCAGCCACTCTGGGGTATCATGACGATATCTCAGCCATCATGATGATCATCATCATCATGACCAGACCAGCTCTGGGCCGGGCCACGCGCGCATGCCGAGACCAAGCTTAGACGACTCATGATACACCCGATGTGCACCATCCGAACGCAAATGGTCGGATTGTGCAGCAAGGAACATCGTGTCATCTGTCAAAATAAGAAACCCAAATTGGCGTCAAGCCAAGCAGAGAGGCAGCGCGCCCTACTACACTAAGTACGTCCTATACTATTGTACATGCTTCTACTAGCAGTAGTGCATAGACAGTGGCAGCGTGGCCCATCACTGGAGCCCTGTTTACAACAGGCGAGCATGAACGCAAGGCCGGGATCCCTCTCCATCCCAACGTTGACCGCCAGACAGACCGCCTATGCAGTGCGATCCCTAAGCGCGTTTCGCGGTCGTAACATCGTCGTTTTTTTCTTTCTTTTCTACCCATGACTCACGGCGTGTAAGTAAACACAACAACATAACATAGTACAACGCATCGATCAGCATAACACTACAGTATTATGACACCCCGGACCCATCGAAAGAGACGCGACGCCTCAAAAATACAGCCACCCGGGCCAAGGCAAAACAGCGGCACAGTACCACTCAATCATACCATCATACCGTAGATAGTATTGGTACCTTTTTGCTCGCCTGAGGGTGCGCGACACGGGCCGCGGCCGTGGCTGAGGCGGTTGATCAAACCAACACCTAATCTGTCATGCGCGGACTCTCTCTCTCTCTCTCTCATTCTCTCCCATTTGACTTGTAGGCAAAAGGCTAAGCGCGTAGCGAGAAGGGCAATGTAATTTCGTTTATCTGTTTATTTTGGCGCCCACGCAGCCGGGAAAGGGCTCTGGGCGCCAAAACATGGTCAGCAACGGCACGAAGACGGGAGTGGGGGCCGAGCGCAAGCGCTCTCTCTCTCTCTCTCTCTCTCTCTCTCTCTCTCTTTTTCTCTCAAGGGTGAGAGTGACAGGCAGGCCTTTCATTTCCTGTAAGAGGAGGAGGGGAAATGAAGGAACAAGAGAAGAAATACGAGATTCTGGGCGCTTAATGATTTTTGTTCGTCAACAGCCGCGCGGATTGGTGTGGAGCAGTCGCCCTTCGTTTTTTTCGGGGGAGAAAGGATGTGGGAATACGACAACAAGAAACAACAGGAGAGAAGAAAGAAAAACAGTCTTGCATAATGTCATCGGAGAGACCTGCATCCTGACCCCATAAGCATCTGGAACCTTGTTTTTCTTCCCCACGACGCCGGGGTCAATACATTTCTTACTATCATCGACGCAGCTGAGGCTGGAAGCGACCCCTTCCGGACGCCAGGACAAACCAATGTGATCCAGGTCCTCAAGGATTCGAGACAGGTCAGACCACTTATCTGTCATTTGTGCACAAAGCAACCAGGTTCGCGTTGGCAATCGTCCAAATGCGGCGTCCCTGGTCTCCCTCTCTCGCTCTCTTTCTCTCTCTCTGTCTCTGTCTGGCTGTCTCTCTTGGGGTCGCAGTCTCACCAGCGTATGCTTGAATCCTAACGGAGCCGTGAATTGGCCCGGTTGGGTCCCTCCCTCTTTCTCTCTCTGGCCCTTTCGGTCGCCCTCGCTTGGGGCCGTCGCGCTGACGGCAGGGCGCATAATATGCACGAAAACGATGCTCACGACCAGAACAGGTGCATGAGAGGCTTAGAGAAGGATGACAGTGAAATCCGGGGCGTGCACAAGTGTCGGAGGGGGGGGGGGGCGGAAGAGTGATAGGAATTTGGACGGTAGCTTTTCTTTTTCGCCCGCAGGATTAATATATCGAGAAGACCCCGGGGGTGACGTGCATGAGCGTTCCTTTTTTCTCTCTTGTCATCATTCGGTCTTTTCCGAGTCCATGGCTGATTTGAGTGAATGATGGCTGTACTTCATGCAGGATGAGATGGGTGGGTGGGCGAGAACTTTGTGAGACCCGAGAGGTTACGATGCCTCTGTTGCATGCTTCTCTTGCTCGAGGATCTCCTCTTTGGGGATCGAGAGGGAACCCTTTTTGGCCCTTCGGTAGCAGCTACGCCACAGCTTGACGGCTACAAAGATGATACCTGATCTGGAGCTGTGGTCTGTGCATGTATATGTCTGTCTTTGTGTATGCCCCGGGAGGGTAGGGGCGAGGGAGGGGAGAGGGACGGAGGAAGCCTGGAGGTGAAAACCCCGGGGGGGGGGGGGGGGTGGTCGCTGGGTCTCGGCCCCTTCACAGCTATCCGTCATCAAGTGTCCTGCTCTGTGGCCTCTGGTGATGTCATGCACGGCCTCTATGATGAGTAAGGCATAGAACCCGGAGTGGGAGGAGATGAGGATGATGGATGTCTGAGACGTTTCGCATGCGGCTTGTGTGCTGCCGTATGAATGGGTGGTGGGTATCTTGGGTGACTTGGAAATTGCTTCGAGACATGATGATAGCCACGTGAGTGGGACAGGCTGTTTCTTCGCAATACGAGACGTTCGACATTGAGCCTGAGAAACACGCTCTACGTCGTGGGAAAGGGCGCAAAGGTGACGATGATCGTGGCTCAAAGTTCGCCATGATACTGCGCTTAGGTTCCGAGACGTTGACGTAGGAGGATACGTGAGAGCAGATGGGTCTCGGTAGGCTGAAAAGACTTCGCATGTCGCATTAGACGGCCACAGGGGTTCCATGATTCGGCTGTTCCTATGTATGGTTGACCGCATGTCACTCGTGTCTCTGGGACTTGTTGCGGTTCCTACCTCTCCTTAATCGCAAAGGTCCAGTTCGGAGGTTCGACCGCTTCCAGTGGGCGCTCAACAGTCCCTCATCTGCCTCACGTTCAAGTTGATTCTCTTGTTCTTCATCCAGCCCTGCCACTCCTCATACTTGCCGTCTTCGGCCGGCCAGTCCTCGAGATAGTCGGGACATGTCCCTTTCAGCACCTTAGGTACGCCGTGCCATGCGTAGCGGGCTTCCTGCGTCATGTAGATAGCATCGCCTGATCTGATCCGCAGCAGTAGATGCTCCTTTTCGCCATGGCCAGGACGGTCTTCTTCTGACATCTTGCCGACATCATTAGGTGCAATCACTATGGCCAACGTCTTAGTCTTACGACTTGGAGGGGCAATTTTATGTAGGAATAAACTTACTGAAGAGCGCGTCACATCCCATACTCAGGCTCACCAGTCCCTTGTCCGTCTCCTCGGACACATCCCGGTGCATCATCATAGTGTCTCCCGGCGTGTAGAAGTTCACAATGGCCGCCTGGGCCAACGTCTCGGGAAACAGTGTCTCAAGCAGGCCCGCGACATCACGAGGGAACTCGGGAGGCCTCTCGCCTGGATACACACGATTTGTCCAGTCGTACTGGCCCCCCAGTGTGATCCAGTGCAGCTTCCGCTCCATGACCTGCTTGATGGAGAGGGGCTTGTGCACGCAAGGATCTTTGGGGATAAACTTGGTGTCTGAGTCCGGCGGATAGGTGAAGAATGATACGGGCTCATCTGTCATGTCGTGTTTTGGGTAGGGCAGGTCGTAATGTAGATGCATGTTTGTCTGGTTGTGAGGTTGACTGAGGTCTCTGTGAATGAGACGGGACAGCAAAGTCCTCTGGATCCTTGGTGGTATGAGGTTAGGAACGATGAGAAGCCCTGAAGGCAATGTCAGTTTGACAGTGTACAAGGTACATATCCGTGTGGTCTCATTGTGAAAAGCTTCTACTCACCTGGCAATATAGGATGGTAATAGACAATGGCATCTTCATCCACCTGGGCTGAGGATGGGTCGTCTCCGGCGAGATGAGTTAAGGCTGTTTTTATTTTCTCAGCCGGGATGGTGCCTGCTTTTTTAAATTCGGAGGCCTTCTCTGGCACTGCTAAATCGTCGATTGCATCGCCTTTGAGCAACTCCAACTTGTCTGTCTTTGAGTAGCCTTTCCATATTGCCCTCATGTGATCTGAGGGCTGCTCGTGAGCATCCAGCGTGCTGAGATCGACCGTCATCCTGTCCTGCTCCTCCAAAAAAAAAATAAAAAAAAAAAAAAATTATGCTCACAACCCAGAGCGGCTTGCTGCAGAGGTCTGTAGTCTTCAAAGTAAAATCCGGGCGCAACTGTGGTGTTTCTTGTGGACCTCTGGGAAATCTCTAGACTTTCACTCTTCGCGGCGTTTCACACGTCGATATTGTATTCAAGGTTCTTGTTGGTGGTAATAGGAGTATTCCTGCGTTCCGTCTTAAAACAAGCGAGCAGGTGAATCTGTGTGGACGGTGAGGTTTTGGTGATCTCTGTTCGTCTCAGCCATGTAATACGCATGGCAAGAAGTCACCTTCAAAGGAAAGTACTTGAATCAAAGTTCAAGACTTAGTACGTACTTAGTTTACGGTACATGGGTGATAGGCTAGGGTTATCAAGACGCTCTTATCGATAAAAACAGTGGCTGCTCTAGCCCCACCATCCCCCTGGAGACAACTAAACAGGGACTCTCGCCCTCCCAAAGGCCCCAGGCCGTCCGACGCGTCTAGAAAGTAAACCAGCTTTCGATCGCGTCTTTGTTTGCCCGCCGAATCATCCCTTTTTGCAACAACAACAACAACAACAACAACAACAACACATCAACCTCGACCCGAGTGTCGACACCACCCACTCGACACGGCCACCGATCCCAAACGCTTCGGATCCCAACAACCACAGCGGTGCGGTGCAGGTGACCTCTCGTGCACCAAGTCAAGTTTCGCTCCTTTTTTTTTTCTTTTTTCGAGGCGATCGAGCCTAGACAATCGAGGGGTATCTTGTTGCAAAAGGAGGGGCATCCATACAACACACAACCACGACAGCCAGATTGGAACAAAAATAACAGCAGCAACAGGTCCTGACGGGGCAATAGAAAGGTACAGGGTCCCAAAGCATCCTTTCGCTGCTCTTTCGTCCTCGGCCCATCTCTCCCAGCGAGTGGCCCCTTCAATGCTGCCACGTACCACCAATAGCCGGTAGCAGCTCAAGCAGACTTCACAGTTTACAACAAGACTATCATCGTGGCTTGTCTCCACTGCAACCGCTAATTACTTCAACACATTTTGCCAGACTATTACCTTGTGCGATTCAAGGCACTACGCGACAGCTCACGCCACATACCACCACCACTACAGTCTAGCCGTTAGGCACAGCAGAAGCTTGCTCAACATCTGCTTTCCAGGCAAGCGCTTCCTCACTCATTTCTGCCACACAAGATATTTTGGTTTGGAAAGCACCTGGATATCCTTGACTGACAGATGATCTAAACAGGCCTTCCAACGTCAAGATGGAAAACTACCAAAAGCTGGAGAAGGTTGGAGAGGGTCAGTCACCTTGAACTGGACTACTGGTTGTACATCATCGAGGCTGACGGCACTGCGCAGGCACATATGGCGTGGTCTACAAGGCCCGGGACCTTCTCCACGACAACCGCATCGTTGCCCTCAAGAAGATCAGACTCGAAGCCGAAGATGAAGGCGTTCCTTCCACCGCCATCCGAGAGATCTCCCTGCTCAAGGAGATGAGAGACCCCAACATCGTTCGTCTGCTCAACATCGTCCATGCCGACAGCCACAAGCTCTATCTCGTCTGCGAATTCCTCGATCTCGACCTCAAGAAGTACATGGAGGCCCTGCCCGTGGCGGACGGCGGCAGGGGTCGTGCGCTGCCCGAGGGCACAAGCGACGAGCTCGCGAACCTAGGCCTTGGATCCCAGATCATCAAGAAGTTCATGAGCCAGCTCTGCCACGGCGTCAGGTTCTGCCACTCCCACCGCGTGCTGCACCGCGACCTGAAGCCCCAGAACCTGCTGATCGACAAGGAGGGCAACCTGAAGCTGGCTGATTTCGGTCTTGCGCGTGCCTTTGGTGTTCCCCTGCGCACATACACTCACGAGGTTGTGACCCTGTGGTACCGGGCGCCCGAGATCCTGCTAGGTGGCAGGCAATACTCTACCGGTGTCGACATGTGGTCAGTGGGATGCATTTTCGCCGAGATGTGCACACGCAAGGCCCTGTTCCCTGGTGACTCTGAGATTGATGAGATTTTCAAGATCTTCAGGTGAGTCTTGCTGTTTACATTTCTTCTTTGACATGCTCACTACATTTCGTGTGTGGTATACACTGCGATGCCCTTGGCTAACAACAACGTCTAACAGAGTCCTCGGCACCCCTACGGAGGAGTGTTGGCCTGGCGTCACGAGCTACCCAGACTTCAAATCCTCCTTCCCCAAGTGGTCCCGTGACGAAAAGCCTCTGTGTCAGAACCTTGATCATCATGGTTTAGACCTGCTGGAGGCCATGTTGGTGTACGACCCAGCAGGTCGCCTTTCTGCCAAGATGGCCTGTAACCACCCGTACTTCGAGGACCACAGCCGCAACGGCAACGGCTACCCCTACTGAACACACAATTCTCGGTCCTTGACCAAATCACGACAGCACCTAACGGACGAATCCGGCAATATTTCCTTTGTTCTCACTATTTGTAGGATACACTGACGAGCAATGAAACGGCGAAACAAATTGATGATACCGAAGGCCTCCCGAAATACTACTGCTGCTGCTGCCTCTTCAAGGATTAATCACTTGGACACGCTGCTATTTCTGACGGGCTCTTCACTTTTGTAAGGTATAAACCACACCGAAGGGGGGTGGGGGTGGGGGGCGCCAAGGGAGGGAAATGATATGGGCTGGCCGGATTGTGCATTTGAGGCTTGGAAAGGGGAAATAGATGACCTTGTACAAGTATACATGCATGTTTCTCCCTCATCTATGGGTTTTTATGATCAGAGGGTCTGCTCCTCTCCCCACCTACCCTTGTTGAGCATGCATCGCTCCACGAGTCCAGGAGTTGTAAGGGGTTTCTGGCATGACTTGACTTGAGTAGGGGCGGTGGAAGGTGGCTTTTACTAGAGCAAGCTAAACTGGACCAACTCTTGATTTCTTCTCGCTATCTTTCTCTTGATGCTTGTCCCATGACTCAGTACTGGTGATGCGTCCAGGTATAGAACATGAGTCTTTGGCTGTCGGCTAATCAATCGTTTAGATGTCTAGTATGCGGTGTCTTACAAGGCAGTCAAGACTCGATCCGCTGACTACTCAAATAGCAATAAGCTCCAGAGCTTTCACTAGAATCTGATTCTCACCGAGTGACCTTCTTTGGCACTTCTCCAAAGCCAGGTCCACAAAGCGAAAACCACATTTCTCTGTCGTATGTATGCTACCAATACACAGAACAGACTAATATGTGAGGACAGTCATTTCGGACCGTGTGATTATTTCAAGCGCTTCAACCCGGTGTCAATAATTCAGTCCAGTTTGTCTACCTGCTTTGCCAGACTGACAGGTCGGCATTCACATTATGGCGGTCAGGGAATCAGCTCAAGACCAATATCAGTCTGGTCTACGTTGTAACGCAGAAGAAAGGGGTTGTCTAACTTTTCGTATCTGCGGCATAGTAGTTGGAAGGAGTTATTTGTTTGAAATTCCATGCCGTTCTAGTTACTTTGCCCAACACCACTAGGAAGTAATTGATCACTAACAAGCAAAGGGGCCATCTGTACATTCAGTATTCCTAGCTGCCTTATGGCTTTTCGGCCTTCGCAACAGGACATATTGCTCAAAGCGTCAATCAAACGTCAGACGATGTTCTGGTCTCTGTCAAAGCAACAAATTGAGGATATCAAGGGCAAGGCGTAGTCAAGTACTTTGTCGGTGAGAAGTGGCACGTCCTGTTTTTCTTTCCCTTTCTCGGCCGCCACACCTCTTGTCTTCCTTCACTCCCTCTTTAGAGTCAAGACAGAGAGACAGGATTTTATTCGAAGTGAGTACACCATGGCTGACAGTCTATTTTTCGTTTTTATGTTTCCTTGTGCGTGCGTGTGTGTGTGTGTGTGTGTGTGTGTGTGTGTGTGTGTGTGTGTGTGTGTGTGTGTGTTGCCACAGCATCTACGCCGACATCGCCTTCACCTTTTTGAAGCAACATGCTCACCTTCACCTCTGCTGAGTCGGCTGGAGCAATCGTGCCGGAGAGTGAGTATCTCAACTTTTACGCATAGTATAAGAAGGATCATAGCCAGGCCTGCTGTCCAGACTGCGCTGGCTCTGCAAGCCAAACCCTAACGTCGCTGAGGCTCTCGCTGAGGAGAAAAGAAAGGAGGTCTGCATTATTAATGATAGCATCCATGGATGTATAAATCTTATATCTTTCCATGTGATTCTTTTCACATACGTAAGCAAACATGGTAAATGTGCGAGGACCAAATTACGAGGCTTCAACTGGCTTGGCGGGATGCTCTATCTGCTGCGCGCACGTGATATCGTGGGCGGTGAGCTTACAGATGATACTGAGGGGCTATCCGGTCAGGTTCATTGCACCAGAGGATATAGTTTTATGTTGAAGCGAAGTCCTTGTGCTTCTGCGAAACTAAGCGATGGCTGAGAAAAGTTCAAGTTTTATCATTCCCCCTTCCCAAGACAGAAAGAAAAGAGCTCTCATGAGTCCCTCAACAATAATTAGCCCTCCGCTATGCCCTACTCGGATTTACCAGATATTATATCTCAGTCTCCACACCGGCCTCCTTATCACCATGATGGAACAGCCCACTGACATTATCCTTCAGGTTGCTCAGCTTGCCTCCGAGATGATCAGCCTCCCTCGCCACCCGCCACTGCATGATGCCCCTGTGCTTGCGGTGCAGCTGTTTGTGATGGTCCTTGTAGTCCCGCAGGCTGTTTCCGAGGCCCCTGGATCCGTCGTTCTCGTCGTTGTGGCCCGGTGCCACGACATCCAGCGCCGCGGAGGCGGTGCCCTGGACGGGGTTGTGCAGGATCTTCTTGGGTGCCTTGCCCAGCTTCTTGAGGTTGTGTAGGGACAGGGTGGAGTGGGGCTTGCTTGAATCCTGCTGCTCATCATCCGACCCGAAGCTGGAGTCATCCGAGGAAGAGTCGTCGTTGGTGTGTACCTTCAGCTTCTTCTTGGCCTCCTTATCACCGCTTCCCCGTCTCTTTACATTCTTGTCCCCTCCATCATTGCGATCCCCATCTTCATCAGAAGACGAGTCCTCCTCATCCGTCACGACGCCGTCCTTATCGTCGTCGTCCTTGGTGAGGTTCTCATCTGTGATCGTATCAAGACACTCCATCACATCCCTCATATTGCCCGTCTTGCTGCGGGACGCAAAGTGCTTGTGATACCCAGACAGTCCCCGCCAGAACTTGAGCTCCAGCTCTACCTCCCCCAGCGGCTGCTCGCCCTCGTCGAGCCCGCGGTAGTCATAGTTCTTCTGTGCCCGTCCCAGCCGGTCCTTGCCGCCCTTCCACACCTTCAGCGTCCTCACTTCGCTCTCCTCGTCGACGAGCTCCTGCAGCCAGAGCACCGCAAACGCAGGGCTCTTGTCCGGGCCGAGCACGCTCTCGCGGAACTCCAGGACGAGCGCCGAGGCGTACCGCTTGCGCACCGGGAGGAACGCGCTCTCGCCCTCGCGGTTCTCGCGCTTGCCGAGTGACCAAGTGCTATCACTGTTGCTGTATACCTTGGTCTTGCCCAGGTCGGTGCGGATCTTGATCCTGTTTCCGAGGAGCTTGTCTGGCAGTCCCCCAGACTTGGCACGTATGGCGCCGCGGATCTCGAGCGTGCCGTAGTCCCACCCCAGCAGGTTCCGCGGTAGCTTGAGTTCAACGCTGCGCCAGACCATGCTGATCCTCGCGCGCCCGTAGCCGACCCCGCCCACGAGAGGGTACACGTCGACAACCTGGCTCTTCTCGGCGAAGACCTTCTGCAGCGGCAGGTAGATCATGCCGATCAGAGGGTCGTTCTCGCGCTCTCGGGCATCGCGCACGGCAATGAAGATATCCGTTGTGCGCCAGTCACGGACGAAGCGTTCGGTGCCCGCGTTGAAGAAGGGCTTGGAGTTCTTGGGCTTGGTGCGAGTGCGGTAGATCTTCTTGTGGTTGAGGATGATGTTGCAGTAGCTGTCCGGCATGTCGTCGCCTGTCTCTGTCTCGCCGTCGCCGTCGGTGTCGTCATCGTTGCCCTTGTCTTGCTTCTGGAGGTTTTGGATCTCGAGGCCGGTAATGTTGTGGATCTGTACCGAGAGGATACCAGACACGTGTTCCTGGCTTGGCGGCGCAGAGATGATCATGTTGTCCTCGATTTCTCCGTAGTCCTGGACGCGTTGCTGGTGCAGCTCGTCATCGTCGTCGGAGCGCTTGCCAGCTTCTCGCAGCTTGTTGGCGGCCAGCTCAGAGACATGCTGTCGGAGCTGGTCTCTGGTGCGGATGTTCTCGTCGACGGTCTGCTTCTGGAGCTGCTGCTCTGTGATCCTGACTTTGGCAAAGTACCCTACAGACCACTGGAGGGAGCCAGGGATCTTCTCATCAGGATCCTGGCCGGTGAAGCGGTCCTCGCGATCTACCATCTTATTGTGCGTCTCCGGGTTATGCATCAGCTCCTTCAGGTCGACCTCGACCCGCCCAAGATCGTCATCTGCCGTCCACTTGTCCGAGTCCCAGAGCTGTAGGCGCAATCTCTCACCGGCGTTGAGCTCTTCTGCCGTCACCAGAATTGCGGCATACTCGTGCCACTCGGGATCCTGCGATTCAGGGATAATGCGGGTGGACGCAACAGTCTTGCCAAACTTTCCCCAGCTCACAGTACAATATGCGTCGCTGGACCCTTGTGCGGGGCCAACCCCGCCATCGCCCTGCTTGAACCCGTGGGCGGACTTGATGAAAACCAGGACGACGCCACGGCTGCCCGTGTCCTTCTTGAAGTCTTCGCCCATAAGCATATCTTTGAGGTTGAGAGTCAGGCTCTTGGGGGCCACGTATTCGGCCAGTGCTGCATCGATGGCGGACTGGACAAAGGACGAGATCATGGGGACATCCATCAAGTTCGGGGCATGCTTCGACAGTGGAACGCATGCCATGGAGGCCTTGGGTTGTCCGAGGAATGTCAGGGTGCAGAGGCTGACGAATGGAGGATCGGGCTGGACACACACAAATCGATCAGTTCAGTTCTCAGCCTCATACAGTATAGATCGATGCTTGTATGGGTTGTTCAAACTTACCGTTAGTTGCAGCCTGAGGCGGAGAGTAGCAATGAAGCCTCTGACCTCGACCCAAACCGGCAGAGCAACGCCGCCAACCGAGTAGAACTTGAGGTAAAGATGGGCATTCTTTGACTTTTCTTTGATGTTCTTACCCGATGTGCGGCTGCGATATGCCAGCGCCATCTCGAGGTTGACAAAGTCGCCCTCCTCAGCCTCCATGCCTTCACGGATCGCGATCTCGGCCTGCTCTTCCTGCTTGTCCTGCCCCTGCTTGCCATCTTTTCCCTGATCGCCACCGTTCTCCAGATTCTTTTCCCTATCCTCCTCTGTATCCTGCACCTGGCCGCTCTCAGGGTCCGTCCGGTCACTTTGTCCCTTCTTTTCTGAGCGTTCTAGCTTTCCACCAGGCCCGACACTCTGACTGGCCGCACCCGAGGGCAGCCATCGGACACCTAGAATGCGTAGGCTCTGGTTTCCCTGGCCCATATCATCGATGCTCACCATCTTGACCACCTTGGGCAGAGAGGCCTGCATGATATCCTCAATCTCGTCGATCAATGATGAGAACAGATCCGGGTTGACGAGCGGCCAGATCGAGGCGAGGAGGCTGTTGAACCACTGCACTGACTCTGGTAGCTCTGTGTCCGAGTCGAGGATGGCTTCCTCCTCGCGTCGTGAAGTCTCCCAGGTCTCATCATCGACAATGTCAGCGACCCTCTTGGACAACCATTGGCCCATGCCCCATGCTGTGCCAAGCGTCACGGCGACGAGGAACAAGATGCTGATGATGGTCGAGATTGATGGAATCCAGCGGTCCTGGCCCGACAATGATGCCAAGAGAAACGGTCCCGCGGCAGCAACAGCAATCACGGTGAGCCCAGCGGTCACGGCTTTCTCGTAGGCTCCCGCAAGCTCCTTCTTGAGATTGCCGAATTCGGGCGGTGGGAATAGCCTCTGGATACCGTTGAACCCGCGCTGGGCCATCTCCTGTTCTTCCCTTAGCTGCTCGTCCGGCTTGCTCGCTCCTTGCGGGCCCGTGGCGGTGGTATGATGCTCGCCTGGCTCAGGCTCATTCTCTGGCGCCGAGTTGAGATCCTTGTCCGTCTGATCGTGAATGACTAGCGGTAGGTGTGTGACTGGATCTGTGACTTCGCGCCCGCCTGTATTGCGAGAAGCCTTCTTCATCGCCTTGCGTTTCGCCTTGGGATCGGTCGTGGAGGCGACGTGTTCGGTGGCGGATTTCTCTGCCTGTTGACCATCCTTATCATCTCCTTGCTGCTGCTGCTGCTGAGCGTCTTGTTTCTGCTGGGTGTCCCGTTCGTATTGGGCATTCTGTTGCTGCTCCTCCTCCTTATCCTTACCGCCTTGCTGCTCAGTATCCTGTCTCAATCCGTCCTCCACAGAATTAGGCCCATGATTTTCCTGTCCAGCAGCAGCAGAACCACCACTACCATCATCTGTCTGCCGTCCGCCGCCCACCTGCCCCTCCTGACCGGGGCTCACGACATAGTGCCTGTTCGCAGCCGGGTAGGGCTCATGGCTGTGCTGTGTCTCATCCTCCCCCTTGAAGATCTTTTTGACCGAGTCGTACGCCCGCCGCGGCCTGGACTCATCCTCAGGCCCCTCCTGCGCCTCCTCGGTCTCCTGCAGCTGGTCCTGGAGCTGTCGCCTGTGCTCCCTGTAGCCCTGGATGGTGGGGATGGGGTGTCCTCCCGACCGCGGCTTGGTGTGGGACCTGCTTGCTGCCTCGTCGTCAAAATTCTCTTGGTTGGTACTGGACATTCTCTCTCTCTCTCTCTCTCTCTCTCTCTCTCTCTCTCTCTCTCTCTCTCTCTCTCTCTCTCTCTCTCTCTCTCTCTCTCTCTCTCTCTCTCTCTCTCTCTCTCTCGTCTTGGGAGAGGAAGGGTGTTGGGGAATGGTTTGAAGAGGGCTCTACTTCAAAATCTAGGCACAGCGCGAGGTCGACAAATACAAGGATGGATGCTTATGTCTGCCCTGGGAAAATAAATGACTGAAACTATTTCCTGTGCAGGAAATAAAGAATGAACTAAGACGGTCATGAGGAGGGAAAGAAGAAAACAACAATCCACGTCAGGGGTTGACAAGCTGTCGACTGTGTTCCTTCCCCAGGCTATATTCATTCTGCCCACGTCTGAGCTGTAACGGTCGGGCGGGCTATGACGAACCCGCGTCCAGGGGTGTGGAGCAGCAGGATGAGGTCATACTAACAGTAAGTTGTTTTACACACTACCGCTTAAGTACTATGCACCCTATGGTAGTAGCCGTGCCGTGAGCAGGGCCTGAAGAAAAGCCTGACCAGGGGCCTGTAAGCTCTATGCTTGAAGTTTGGAACCACGTCTTCCTATTGTATACACTCCCAAGCCCCCTGCCCCCTCTCTCCTCGTAAACAAGCCACTATTACCACATAATTGGTGGATCTAACAGGACGATCCTCGCCTCGCGAACCTGTTTTCTATTCTTTTCTTCTCTTCTTCTTCCATGTCTTGCACCTCTCAAATTTGGTTTACGTTTGTCACACTGCCCAAAGATTTGTGCTGATCAATAGCTGACTGGTTCATAAAAATACGTGATGCGTCGTTGTCAAGCCTTGGGTGGAGCCACGGCACTATTAATATGTTCATCGGCATTGAAAGCGCTAGAACTTCGTTAGATGACGCCGGAGGCTTGAAGATCACCAGGGGTAGTAAGTACTACATAGTATCTGCAGCAACCTCAAGGCGTCCTGAACCATGAAAGCTCGTGAGACGTGAGACGAGTCTCCACTGTAGCCATCAGATGTGAATTTTGACTGGTTTGACAGAGAGTATATGCTTTGCTTCGCGAAGGCCTCAACGTGAATTACATAGCATCATCATGCTATGGCTTGTGAGGGATACTCTTCTCTGGAAAATAAATCCCGTATTCCTTTCGAACACCTATGCTACAGCACAAGACTGGCATCTACTCACTCCTCTCCTTCAGAATCCCAGACCACCTCACCCTGGGTAGGTGGCAGTCGAATCCTCGAGTCGTCCATGAGACTATCCTCCTCATCCCCGATGGCCCCGAGTCCAACACCCTGCGACGACCGCAATAACATGCCCAGTCCCAGAGACGACTGGGTATGAAGATCACTCTTCTCCCCAGCAGTCCGCGCCTGGACTGGACTGTCATCCACGAACATGATATCTTCAGGCAAGCTGGGCAGACTGCTTGATCCCTCCATATGTGGCCGTCTTGCGGGGGTGTAATTCTGCGTGCCGGCTTGCTGGGAGAGTATGCGCTGAGACTGGCTTACTGCGCTGGCTGTAGTTGCCTGTGAGGGGCGAACAGTTGATTCGACAACTTGTTGCAATTCGTATTCCACGTGTCTTACCACCGCGGGCGGACTGTCGTCGATCTGATCATCGCTCCCCTGCGAACGGCTCAGAGGTGCTTCGAGCTCAGCGGAGACGACCTGCCTCTGAGAACCAGGCACACGGCGGGGGGGCGTCGAGGTAATATGGCCCCCGCCCGCTGCATCCTGACTGGACTGAACAGTGGCATCCATGTTATGCTCTTTCATGTCCTCGTGAGGCTGCGATCGGTCCTGGGGTGAAGAGGGCAACCCCCTCACCAGCTGTGTTGCTCCCTCGATGTCGCTCCTCAGCTGCTGAGCCAACTCTTGGCTGATCGTCGCTCCGCCCTCGTTGGCATCTCCCTCTGCATCTTCCTCGGCCTCATGCTCACGTTCCTCAAAGAGTGCACACCTCAGGTTTCCCATCAGCTGGCCAAGCACCGCGGGCGGCACGTACTTGAACTTCTGGGGTGCTTGCTCAACCCAGCCGTTCTCCTTCATCCGATTCAATGACACTGGGTTGTTCAGCTGGTACACCTGCAGCAGCTCATACGCGTACTTGCTGCCCTTGCCCTCGTTGAATGCCTTGTTACCAACACCAGGGTCATCCGCTGAAATCTCGCCGGGAAGCTTGTACCCGCTGATGACGGCCATATACTTGAGTTCGCAAACGGGATGAGTGATGTAGATCCAGATCCGCGCGACCTGGTGGAGGCGGAAGTTGCGGAACTCGTGCGTCTTGGCGCCGTCAACAATCTCTTCAACGTGCTCCGGGTGGATTGACATGATCACGTCTGAACGGTCAGTCTGCGGGGCCATCTGGCGGATAATCTCGAAGGGAACACGTTGAGACTCGAAGGCTTGAGACCTGTAGCCGAGTTGAGAGACCGGGGGCATCGCTGGTGAGGTCTTCTGCGGCGAAGACAACGGCGTCTCCTTCTCAACGGCGCTGGAACTACTAGGTCGTCGACGTCGGTGAGTCGGTGTCTCGGGTTCCGTCTCGTCTTCGTCCTCAACAGGAGGCTCGGGAGTAGATGGTCGATGCAAGCCAAGACGTGAAGGCGGCTTTTTAGCTGCACTTTTGCGAACGGGAGATGTGGGCGTTGTCCCGGACGCAACGACTTCAACAACAGGAGGCCGAGATGGACTCTTGCTCGGTAGACTACTTGATATATGCTCCTTCAAGGGTCTGTGTTCAGCACCGACGTCTGCGACCTCTGCAGAGTACTCCTCGGCTGGACTGCTGTGTATTTCCTGAAGCGGCGCTGTCTGTCGTGCGGTGTTCCCCGGTGTTGGCTGATTAACAGTCTCGGCATCCTGCACACCTGCATCGTCGATGACCTGACCAGATGAGCGTGGGGCTCGTGTGGGTGTGCGAATTTCTCCAATAAGCTGGTCAGATAGCCGAACAACTGGCTCAGGCGTGCCTGCTGGCTGGGGCTCGTCTTGTACATCGTGATCACCATCATCAAAAATCTGGAACTCCTCATCCGAGTCCAAAATTACCTCTTCCTCAGGTCTCGACGAGACTTGCGAGGGTGCACCTCCCTCCTGGCCCTCCGTCTCAGCACCGTGCTCACCTAATTCAAGGCTAACGTCCGCAAAGTGAATCTCCTTCAATGGCGTCCGCTTGACTCTCTGAATCTGGCTTGAGTCAGATGCCCTAACAGGACTCGACCCCAATCCACCATTGACTGTGCTCCAAGAGTCCGGCACCTCACTCCTTTCCTTCCGAAGTTGAGGTGGCACACGCCCATTGGCACTCGGCGTCGGCTCCTCAACATTGGTCGACTTCTCCTTCAGCGGTGTGCGCTCTACGCCTTGTCTCTGGAGGTTCAGAGGTGACCAGTACCGACGGCTTATTTCCAGGTTTGGGGTGAAGGGCGAGGGTTGCGAGGAAGGGATTTCGGCGCGGATGAGGCGCTGGGCGCGCGGCGTTGCCGGCGCGGGGGCAGAGGTGGTGCTTTGTTGTGATGGGGAAACAGCTTGCTTCTGTTGGTTTTGCATGAGCTCAGCTTGGATAGGAGGCGGTGAGGGTCGTTTCCTCTTCTTCGACCAAGGGGAAGTGCTGTAGCCATCGGCTCCGTCTCCTATCTCTGCACCGAGACGGGTGCTGATGTTGTCAGGTTCACCGTCTGGATCAGCTTCCACCATCCCCAAGAGATGACCACCATCGCCACCCTCCTCAGACTGCCTCCAAGAGGGCATCTGCGTTAGAGTCTGCGTGTAGAATCTCGAGCTCGACCGAACCTCTTCCTCCTGTTCTTCGTCTTCCTCACGCTCTAGCTCGAGATCACCGGTCGTCTTCCTCCTCTTGCGTCCCTTGTTGGGCTTCTTGGTATGTTTGTCCTTCCCCGGCATCTTGTTCTTTGCAAAGGGCTCAAGAGACGATTCGAAGCCATTCCACTCTTCCTCTTCATCGCCACTTAACCCTGTCAAATCCACCAACAACCTCGCACCCGGTTCGTCATCATTATCATCGTCGTCCAACATGTCGTCCGGGAAGGAACTCGGCACCCACCCAATTTGCGTGAGAGTCGACTGTTTCGGATCGTCGCCCTTCTCCTTCCGTATCCTCCTCTCATTCCTTGCCGTAGATGACGACGTCCTTGTCAACGACGCAGGCAGGCTCTGTCTCGTCGCCTTCTTCTGCCGTATTGTCTTCCGCCTCGCGGGAAACTTCACCTGTTCAGGTTCGGGTGCAGATGGCGCCTTGCGGTAGACCTTATCGTTATTGCTCCTGCCGGTACTCTTTTTATTTGCCCTCATCTCCAACGTCGTCGACGTGGAGGGGATGGTATCTACATCGTCGTTCAGGCCGGAGTCGTTCGCGACAGTGGTTTCTTTCGAGGCGCGTGTGGAACGCGTCGTCGGTGCCATCTTCCACTTATACTTTTGCGGAGCGCGTTGTTGGTCTTTGGCGGTTGCGTGGATGAGTCTTGGGCCAAAAGGGGCCTTCTACCATAATTTGTTCTAGGCAGACATGACAAGGTTATGAATAGGGAGGTTGGTGTGGGGGAAAGGACACCCAGGTCATCACTGCCAGTGCCAGCCGCAATGGTGGACCATGCGCTGGCAGGGGCAACTAACATACGCGACTTGAGACGCGTTCGCCTAGAGGCCCCTAATAAAGACCACTATAGCGGTGGCCAAGCCCCTGCCACCAAAATGACATCAGCTCGCTTATGTAAACATGCAACCGTGACACAGAAAAACTGATTACTAAGTACTGAGAAGTATGGACTCTTAGGTGTCGCTCACATCAGAATACTCCGCAAAATCTATTATAGACGCTGTGTTAACAGTTCAGCCCTAGACATTCAAGAAATAATGTAATAGAACTATCAGAGCGCCGGCCAATATCTTCGCAAATTCAACCTGGATTGACCAACGTAATTGCGATGTACGCCGCTGTCCCCCATCACCATGTAATTTTACTCCCTCGCCAACGGCTCAAGACACAAAGGATAAAGTTTTAAACACAATAAACCTCATTGGCCCTGGGTTTTCATGGAACCGGTTTCTCCTGTGTTCCAGTGCGTGCTGTTGACCCACCCAAAAAAAGAGAAGAAAAAGAAGAAATACGACAGACAAAGACCTCCTCCCATTGCCTTGCAAGTCATCATCAAACCCAACACAGAGGTTAGGGATGGAAGACCACAGGTACAGCCCTCCGCGAAACCGTCTAGTGCCAATGCCATAGCAGGGGGGGAGCAATTTGTGAATGTGATGGTGCTTTATAAACTGATGCACTCATGAGAGGTGGAAGGCACCTTGGCCCTCTCTCATGGCAGTGTAGAGCTGCTTCTTCAGAACGTTGATGTCCGTATAGTCGGGCAGCTTCAGGTAATTGACGCAGGTCATCACACTGGGCAGATAGTCGTCCGAGCTGTAAGGACCCTCGCTGGGCTTGCATACAACCGTAAACATGGGCGTCAGACTCTTGAAACCTATACTATTGTTAGCTCTGTGCACCTGTTGAGTTACAAAAACCACGTAGGTACTCACCTCCAATTGGTAGCTTGGGACTGCCGGTGGTGAATTGGAGGAAGTCTCGTCGTTGTGGTGGGTTGAACTCGCTCATCGTTTGCAGCAAGTTTCGCACGCTCTTGCTGTCCATGTTGAAACCGTGGTCTGCCTTGACAGAATCCATAAGAGCTGCGATCTGTGTCAGTCACGTAGTTTTGAGTGCAATCCCGGGGGGGGGGGGGGCGAGACTTACTGGCAAGTGACCAATCCTCGTCAACGCGGCCGAAAAGAGTGCACAACTCCTCGGGAGTAAAGGCGCTGAGGGCTTGATAGGGGAATACCTGAGAGAAACCAGTGCGGAAAGCATCCACTTGTCGCCGGACACCGCTCCCGAGTGTCATGTCGATCACCCGGTCAAGGTACTGATCGACATTGTCAATGGTCAACATGACTTGTGATCCGTTCGGCACGAGCTCGATGTCGGCATAGCCAGGCAAAGTGAAGTCCAGAGATAAATCCTCAATCCGGACACCATGGTCGATGGTGATCTCCTGGATATCATTGACCTTTTGCGTTGCGTTGCGGTTGGGGTCTTCGGCGATCTCCTTCTTGGCCAACGCAAACTTCTTGACGAGGACCAGTGAACGGGCGAGTACCGGGTCAACAAGCTTCATAGCTCCCAGTGATGGCTTGATGCCTGAGGACTCGTCTCCAATACGGAAGAAGATGGGGTTCAGGTTGATGTCAATGATACGAGAATCGATCATTGATCTCGCCACAAACTTGCCCAGGGTTCTAAAGAGCTGTAGAATACGCTCTCCGCTGGTACTCGAGAACCCATCCTCCCCGTAAGGCCGAGGGAAGAGACCATTGGGCGCAGATACATACTCATCGGGGTCGGCGTGTGAGCCATCGGCGTCCCGCCACATCTTCAGCCTCTTGGTCGCGAACTCCTTGGACACCGTAGAGTAGAATTCCAGGGTGGGGCCGAGACCAGTGCCAACCTCCTCAAAATATTCAACCTCCAGGATGCTCTGAGAGCTACCATACAGATCCATAACCTTCAGGGCCGACTCGAGAATCTTTGAACGCGAGATACGCACCTTCTGCCGCTGGAGGCGCCCCAGGAACGGACGGTCATCGCGGCCCCGACGGGGGTCATCTTGTGGCTGCGCGTTTTGCCAACGATTCATGGACCGGGCATAACCGAATGAGGTCGACTGCAAGAACAGGTGTCTCGTCTCGAAAGGGAAGAGGAAAGGATACAGACGAGCCAGGTCCTCGCTCCAGCTTGGCAAGCAGTTGCTGGCGACGATCAACGGTTCCTCCAGCTGTCGATTGAGTTTGGCTGTAAGCTTGGTATTGACGAACTGCGACAAGGGCTCAATATTCAGTTTCAAGGTAGCCTTATTCTCGACAATCACATCGTCGATGTTGGCATTGAGGTTGTGCAGAATTTTAAGCAGTCGCAGAATGGAGGCGGTCGTTGGGTGTTTGGCAAGGGAAGCAGGTCCGTTTCCGTCACTGGACTCGTGATCATCACTTGAAGTCGAAACAGAGGACAGCGCCTCAGCTGGTGGCGGACCCGAGACGCGACGGATCTTGATCTCGTGCGTCTGTGCCCAGACATTGCGGATGGAGAAATCCCCGGAGCCCATCTTCTGGACAGCACGGTAAATAGTCGTCTCGTTGCCGACAACCTTGCCTTGGTGACTGAACTCCAGGTGCCAGTCTTGGGGAATGGACTGGATCGCAGCAGCATAAGACATGGGCCGAGATGAAGAAGCCGAAGGCGAGTTCATCAGAGCGTTTGCAAGCAGGCTGGAGCGGTGGGCCAAACTGCTGCTACCACTGATCGAGGATGGTGTAGGGACGCGGGTACCATCTTCCTTTCGTGCGGTGATTTTGTTGCCGGTAACTTCGAGATTGACAGCGGAGGGGTCTGGCGTAGGAGCATCATCCATCTCCTCATCAAGAATGGCATCCAGAGCACTGTGATCCCCCGAGTCTTCATCTTCTTCGATGTGTTTCTCGTCCGCACACTCGAGCGCGTCCTCGAGATCATCCTCATCTTCGGGCGGGGGGCGACTTGGCTGTGGTGGGTCGTTCGCTACAGCATTACGTCGACTTGACCGTCGCAACACAACCTTAGCTGCAGATGCAGACGAGGCAGCTTCCGGGGTGCTTGGCGTGTCAGCTGTCGAGTTGGTCCGAGCCTTCGCTTTGCGTGAAGACCGAGAGCTTGATGCCGCAGGTGGCACCAGGGGCGGGGGAGTAGCAGCGCCCATGTGTGGCGGGAGGCGTGAAGGGAGGCGGGCGGATCCACCTGGAGGACCTGCACCGAATGGGAACGCTCCTCCTGCCATTGCTGCCAGTGCCCTGGAAAGACCGTCACGACCCCCTCTCGAGGGTCGAGGACGGTCGGACAAGCTGATCCGAGGTCGTAGGTAGTCTTCTAGAGACTTGAAGGTCGCGATCGCATGAATGGACACCATGATATTCCTGTACACGCGTGGAATGTCGGAGTCGTCATCAGCAGTGAGCTTGAGACGAATCTGCTTGGCCAACATCGATGCGGGGTTGCTGCGGTGATTGTCCCCGTGGGAGTTGCTCGAAACTGTGAAGACCTCAAAGTGCTCAGAGCGGCTGAGGAGGTCCTGGAGCTTGTGTACCATCATGCTGAAGGGGGTAGCAGGGGAATCGGCGGTAGCCGTCTTCGGTTTGGACTTGACAGTGTATCCCATGAACACCTCGATGAAGGCGGCCTGAGCTGCCATTGCCAGGTCTTCGTCAGGGTTGCTGAACACCTGCTCCAGGATGCGGACGATGCCCGAGTCCAGCAGCTCTGCACTTGTTGCGCTCTCGAAGAGATCAGAGTCAAAATAGCTGGCCAACTTCGTGAAGAGCTTCTTGCCAGTCCCGCTCGCAGCGCTAGGAGAGGTAGTCGGACGGAGGTAGAAGGTCTCGATGTCGCCAGCCAATTTAGACAAGTCGCTCAGAATCTTGACAGCCTTCTTCTTCATGGATTTGGCATTCTTCTCCGTCTCATGGTCCTCCAAAAAATCCTTCGCCGACGCGTGAATCCTGGACCGCAGAAGCTGGTTCTCGGTGAATGGTGGTGGCGGGGGCGGGGCGTCAATAGACATCGTCGAGCCGCCAGAACTGCCAGGTGACCCGGATAGAGCCCGAGGTGGCGCTCCGTGCTCACTCTCATCGTCCTCTTCATCGTCATTGTCCTCGTCACGCTCCCCATCCGAGGAGTGGTGAGATGGCTCATCGTCATCTTCATCATCCTCATCGTCATGTTCGTGAGCATCATCTCCATCTAGAGAGTCTCCCGAGGATGAATGGTCCGCGGATCCCGCCGAGGAGCGTCGAGACAAGCGCTGCATTCCGCTCGTAACCGTCTTGGCATCAGACTCTGTCTCGTTAGCCAACCTGGCGATTTCCGTGATGACGCCTTCCCTGTAGAGCTGGTATTGGTAGATACTGCCGAGTCTGCTCATCAAGAGATCGGTAGCGTCCAGGGCTGCTGCGACCAGTGTAAGGTCATCTTTCTGAGACACAATAGACGCCAGGAAGGATGCGTACGGCACTGGCGCCAAGGCTTCCGTGAGGATGTCGACGTCCAGATTGTACAGCATCTTAAGCTGAGCCAACAGGACCTTTTGACGCACAGTAACGTTGACGGTGCTAGAGAAGGCGTCTGTGAGGGTCGGGAAAAGGATCAACGCGAAGCGTCGCACTTCATTCTTGCAACCTTCCAGCAGTTGAACGCGCTTCTCGTCTGAGGACCTCCGGCGTGGCGGTGATGAACCGATGTTCCCTTCGCCGGCAGCGGGATCTGTGAAGCCGCCCTTGGTCGGGTCGGCCGCCCCGGCCGGAAGCTTAGGCAAGAGCTCACACACAACATTGAGAGCCTCGATGATTTGTTCCCTGGGTCGATGAATGAGTGCTTGCATGATGAGCACGCTGTCAAGCTTCGAAGCGACATCATCAGTCCCATCAGGCGGAGAGACGCCTGTCAGCACCTGGTATAGTGTCTCGACCACATTCATCTTCATCAGCTCCACGGACAACCGGGGACTCGCCTTGGCCGTGGATGCTAAGACGCGCAGGAACTGGGTGTGGATGCTGGGTCCGATGAGGTTGGTACTGCCCGGCATGAGGAGCCGCAAGATAGACGAGAGGAGATCTTCGCTGACCAGGGCTTCCAACTTGCTGGGAGTGTGGCGCCAGGTATCGACGATGCGAGAGACACAGATTGAGGCTTGCTCCACGACACGCGGATCATTGTTCTTGAGCACGTCTCGGAGAATTCGCACGGCATCCTTGACGACATTGAAATAGTCGTGTGGCAGGTTACGGCAACAGTTTGCAGCAGTCGTCACGGCCGTGCGCTGAGTACTGATGGGGAAGAAGTCGAGATACTCCAGACAGGCGGCGAGGCCGCCCTCCTTCACAATGGAGGAAGGATACTCGGCGGATACCTTTTCGAGAGTGCTCAGGGCCTGCTCAGCCAGGTCAATGAATTGAATGTCCCTCAATTTCTCACACAAGACGGGCACGGCACCCGCGTAGACAACGTTAGTCACGCTGGAAGGCAGGGCCTCCATCAGATTGGCTAGACAGCGGCAGGCTAGCAGCATAGTCTCAGGGTTAGCTTCTGTGAATTCGTCAGGCTTCATTAGGGAGACGAGCTCTCGGACGAAAGAGTCTGTCGAGAAGTGACCCTGGAGGTTATCCTCATTGGAGATCAGAAGGATCTCAGACAGCTCATTCAACGCCACCAGGTGCAACGTTGGGTCATCCTTCTGACGCAGATTGGACAGGATATCTCGCAGGCGGGCGTTCATGCCCGACATCATGCCTGTCAAGGCTGCGAGCGTGGATGATAGGCCGCCAGGGGGGCCGAACCCGCCAAACACGTCGTCATCGTCGCCATCATCGCCATCGTCCTCATCTGGATAGCGGCGGCGTGACGAATCATCCTCCTGGCCATCACTATCTTCGCCATGGTAGTCCTCGTTGGGTGGCGGAGGAGGGCGAGAAGCAGACGTCTTCTCATTGTCGTCGGTGCCGGTCATGGGTGTGTCTTCGTCTGGGTTGTTGGACCTCCTCCGAGGCCGCCTCGAAGAAGACGTGGAGGCTGCAGCTGTGGAAGAGGGGGCGATATTAGAGAATGTGGCCATGAATTTGCCCTTGGGCTCCTGGAGCTCACCTGAAGCATTTTTCTTGTTGCGGCTGGACTTCCGACTGGACGAGGCAGAAGTTGCACTGTCTGGAGGTGGTATCGATGGACCTGCAGCAGACCTAGCAAGGAAAGTTAGCTCTCCTGCTCGGAATATAAAGGAAGATCCCCCCCTGGGGGGCCCCTTCAGGGAAAATACAACTCCTCCCCCAAAAGAAAAGAGACAAGCCTGGTGGATATCCTTACTCTGGACTTGACATAGTTGTTGCTTGTTTGCCCTTCCTCTTTCTAAGAGAGTACGCCGGCTGCTGAGCCTGAGATGGGACCGCTGGGACTGGAGCTGGCTGGGGCTGCTCGGACGCCTTTGCTCGCTTAGTACGGCGTCCGGAGGGGTTGTGCTCGGTAACGTCCTCCAAACTCGTGTTATCACTGGGCTTTCGTTTCTTCGTCGACGACTCAGCGGGAGCAGAGGTAGCAGGAGGTTCTGGTGGGGTAGCCGAAGATGCACCGGCAGCACGAGAGGACCTGGCTGCCTGACGAGCCGAAGAACGAGTGGTTGGCCTAGTAGAAGACATGAGTAAATGTGCCCACTGGTCTCATCATTCGATGGAAGACTTGTGACTGTCCGTGGAACAGGCAGCCGTGTTAATGGGGGAAAGAGATCAGAGAGAAGGTGTCGTGACGAGATTGGGAAGACAGAAAGAATGGCAACGTAGAAGATGGGCGAATGTAAACGAAGATGGCCAACTGATTGACGTTATCGCTGGAGGGGTTGGGTCTCAAAGCGGAACCACCACAGAGGTGGAGGCTTAGTTGGCAGTGAGTATTGGTGTTGGTGTTGGTGGGTAGGAGCTGATAAAGTCGGTGCTTGTGTTTGTGTGTGTGGTTGTAGTTGCTGTTTGGTGGTGCTGGTTTATGTGGTGGAGGTTGATGGCCCCAAAATTCCCCAAACCCCAGCAGGTCCCTGCTGGATGACGGAAGGTCGAGCCCAGAAGTAGTCACCAGTCTCAGCAAGCACAACCACCAACCACAAGTCGATCTGATCTCGAAAATTGCCTGATAAACTGGGGCTGATCCCTGGCAGAGACAAGAGACTACCCCGAGACTCCTTCTTGGATCTGAAGGGTTGCAATCTGGCAGAGGGGGAACAGGTCTGAAGTGGACTGGATCGAGAATGTGCTTTTTTGTTTTGGGGGGGGGGGGGGGGGCTGAGAAGGCTCTTGACAATTCCACACATGAAGGACAACCAGGGATGAAGGAGATGTAGGCTGCTTGATGGCAAGGATACTACATGGGAGGGGGGTAATAACGGACGCGTGCCTGAGCAGGCTTGTGATGTCTCCCTACCTCGAGGTGACAAGAGGGGTACAAGCGGTGCGGTCGTAAAGGAGGTGCCAGAGAATATATAGGGAAGTAAATTCATATGTACCTTGGTGGTCTATTGGAGTCGATTGCTGCGGTTGTGGCAGCAGCAGCAGCAGCAGAGGACAACGGGAAGGAGGTGAGGGACGAGGAGGAGGAGGAGGGGGAAGAGGAAGGAGCTCGTCGGGTTGAGCCTAGCGGGTTTGTATAATTGATGTTTGGACCAGGCGCGGTTCTTCTACTTCCTATAGCCGCGGCTTGACCTTGATCAGTCGCAGCGCCTGCGTGCGGATGCTGTTGCCCGTACGGGTTGGGAACGGAGGAGTGGGAGGAGATCGCGTTCGAGGAGGAGGTCGTCTGCGTCGAGTCGGGTAGTGACTGGGACTGGGACTTGGACTGTGCTTGTGATAGCGACAAGGACGAGCGGGGCGAGGATGGGGATGTGTAGGACGAGGAAGGCGCTGTGCGTTCAGGGCCAAGTTCAACAGCCTGAGCCTGAGCTGATGTGGACGCGGACGTGGACGTCGACGAGCGCTGGTTCCAGTGGCCGTGTGTGGTACTTCGTTCTGCCATGAGTTATGCCGCCATGAGGGATGGCGACAGCGGATCGTTCTTTATCTGCGGAGAGGGGGGGGGGAGGTGTCACTATCGTGATTCGCCTGGTGGCTGTCGTGGGGAGGCTCGAAGGGTGGAAAAAGGACGGATGGTCGTCCGTTGGGGGAACAGATGCAATCGAGATGAGGTTTGGGACCTGATTACTACAGACTCCGGACTTGTACAGTACCAATGCAGTCCGTCCTACGCAGTGCTGCACCATCTATTGTGTGGTACCAGGTAGGCCCACTGTCTGGCTGGACCAAACTACCCCCCTCGCCAGGTCCTGAACCGCCTGGCAGGCCTGGGGTCTGGGTCTCATGGTTTGCGGTGCAGGCGGCTACGGCCCAGGGTGCCAGGCTGCAGGGAGCCCTGTGCCCTGTGCCCTGGTTTAGGGGCCTTGTCCCAGCAGGTCTGGCGGGGGAAACCGAATGGCACTGCACTTAGCCCCTCCTGATTCTATCTATCATCCCCTGGCGTCACTTCTGCCCATTCAAACGCTATCGCATTCATCCCGGTCTTGTCTTATTGACGCCACCACCAATCCATGTCCGTTCATTCACGACCTGCGACACAGATTCTTGCTGTTTTCATCCCGTACTCCGTAGATGGTTCTCCCTCTCCACTAACAATCCCCCTCAAGCTCCCCCCCACACGTATTTTTTTTTTGTCCTTTGGTCTTGCAGCAACTGGGTGCGTTTCCTCTTGTCATATAACGCCACGTATCGCAAGTTGGGCATGAAGGCATGCACCAAATTCTCAATGTGGACTTTGGTGGACAGTCACGGCGGGGCGGGGCGGACGGTGGTGTCTTCATTGGACCCTGCATGGTACCAGCGGTCAAGAGCCAGAGAGGCTGGAGGTTTGGGTTGGCAGGTGAAACAAGACAGGAAGAAAGAAGGTCGGCCATCATGTGCGCAGCGCCATTTCCTGATCACCACCAGTCTATAAGTTAGCACAAGAGCTGGAACTAGAAGGGTATTTTTCTGTCTGTCGGAGTTTAGCTTTATAAGCCGTTGAGCTTCATGTTATGTTACGTACCTAGGCTTCGGTCCGACATCGGGTATTTTCTGGCTGTTTTCTCTCTCGGCCGGTGATCCTGCGTGGATTCGCACCTTTCTATAATTCAAAATACCATAACTGGTAATTTCGCACAATGGGCAAGGCACTGACCGTCAAATAATCCATGACAATGCCTGATCACCACCCAACAGGGTCAGCGTCCGATCCGCAATGAGAGAGCATGCGCAGCGGTTTCTATCGGCCTTAGATGACGTCGGGTTTCACAGCCTGCGGCTCAATCTGAACAGCGACAATGCCGTAGGACAACAAACATCCTTCTTTCCCCCCTTGGAGAGGGTTTATAGACTCGAGAGCCTTTACAACATGTGTCTATAGCCTTGACCTCGACTTGGACTCCGACGAGCCGTGCTATCTTTTCCGTCCGTTCACTCGAGGCCTCACCACCATGAAGATCCGCCGCTTCCCAGGCCTCGCACCCTCGCTTCGAGGACCAAGCCTCCTCCTACCGTCGAGAGGCACTGCCATCGCTTTCACCCCTCTCGCGACCCACCGCCTCGCAGGCTCGCTTTCACAACGCCCTGACTCGAAATACGTCCAGTTTCCCGGCGCCGTCAAATCTGCCTTCACCAATGCCCTCTCCTTCGAACAGCCCGCCTCGCACGAGGCCATGCCCACCTACCGCGCCGTTGACCAGAACGGGCACGTCGTGGACTCCTCCTTTAAGCCCGACCTTTCCGACGAGGAGGTCATCAAGCTCTACCGGCACATGCTGCTAGTGTCTATTATGGACATCATCATGTTCGATTCCCAGCGCCAGGGCCGCATCAGCTTTTACATGGTATCAGCTGGGGAGGAGGCCGTGACCGTCGGGTCCGCGAGCGCCCTGGCAAAGGAGGACGTTGTCTTCTGCCAGTATCGTGAGCAGGGCGTCTTTGCACAAAGGGGTTTTACACCAAGAGATTTCATGAACCAGCTGTTTGCCAACAAGAAGGACCCGGGTAAGGGCAGGAACATGCCTGTGCATTATGGAAGTAGGGAGTTGAACATTGTACGTACCCGTCCGGCCCTATGACAAAAGGACCTAATCAAGGAAGTGCACAAGATGTCTTACTACGGTACATGTGTAAGCTGAACCTCTTTTACGAACAGCATACCATCTCGTCTCCCCTCGCAACGCAGATCCCACATGCCTCTGGTGCTGCGTACGCGCTCAAGATGCAGCACCTACACAACCCCTCCTCCGTCCCACCCCGCGTAGCCGTTGTCTACTTTGGCGAGGGTGCCGCTTCCGAGGGTGACTTCCACGCAGCCCTGAACATCGCCGCGACCAGGTCCTGCCCCGTCATCTTCATCTGCCGCAACAATGGCTACAGCATCTCCACCCCGGTGCTCGAGCAATACCGCGGCGACGGGATCGCCTCGAGGGGCGTGGGGTACGGTATCGAGACGGTACGTGTGGACGGGAACGACATATGGGCGATTCGTGAGGCCACCAAGCGGGCGAGGGAGATGGCTCTGCAGGATGGTGGCAGGCCCGTGCTGATCGAGGCGTTGACATATCGTGTCGGCCACCATAGCACGAGTGACGATTCCTTTGCGTACCGTGCGAGGGTGGAGGTTGAGGAGTGGAAGAGGCGGGACAACCCGATCTCGCGTCTGCGGAAATGGATGGAGGCCAAGGGGATATGGGATGAGGCCAAGGAGAAGGAGGCCAGGGAGGGAATCAGGAGAGATCTGTTGAAGGCGTTCCAGGAGGCCGAGAAGGAAAAGAAGCCGCCCATCAGGACCATGTTTGAAGATGTATATGAGGAGCTTACGCCAGAGATCAAGGGTCAGATGGCAGAGCTCAGGGACCTCATTGAGAGGTACCCGGATGAATATGATGTGAATGACTTTGATGGTGGTAAAGATAGTTTGAAATAAAGAGTTTATGACATCCTGTGGTTGTCATTCATGTCTCTTACGATATTCTGGCTTCTCACATAGGATCCTTCAATGGACGCAAAGGCCATGGGAAGGTTCGTTTGTCTGGTGATTCCCAGAAAACCACCGAAGTTTACGTCTACGATTCATGGGGGCATGAGCAACTTGCAGTCTTTAGAGATAAGAAAGGGGTCAGTATCAATAGTAGACATATATCAAACATAAAACTGAACAATGATAGCTCTTTTGACACTGTAGCCTACTGGCCTGCACTTGCTATCAAAAGTAAGTGAATCAAACATCCTAGGCATTCAAACTCCAAAGTTTGTCTAAGCTGTGAACTTCAGCTGACAACGAGCGACCATTTTACAGGAGCAGAACTATGTGTCGTCTTGGGACTGAATTTACTTAGCTTGCCCACGGTTTTTTCAGCATTGAAAGTCTGCAAGGCCTGAGGTGTCTGACCTAAAACTTTCTCCCACAGCCAGAGCATAAACATTGGATATCAGATATTCTTCTGCTATCCTTCCACTTACCTCGCACCATCCTACGAGCTGCCCAAGATTGTCCGCCGCGTCCATCTTGCCCCTATCAATAGATTACCTGAACGCATACCTAAGCACGTCTCCGTCTTCTCAACCTCCTACCGGGCAACGAGGACCAGCCAGGCCAACATCTCGGCTCCTCGACTCCTCCTGTACAAAGCTTCCCGTCCTAGTCCGTCCAGCGACCAGCGGCGAATCATGCCCGACGCTAACCTTGCCATCTTTCTCGCAATCACTCTCACCCTCCTCTTCATTGCGTTCGCCGCCTACCAGGCGCGCAAGTGGGTCGGCGAATTCACGCGGGCGATGGTACAGTCCAAGGAGGCGGCGCACCGTGAAGAGGTCTAAGGCGGCAGTTAAGGCAAGAACGGCCGCCGTCTGGCCAAACAACAAGTTCAAACTCACCTAGGCTAGCATCGGCGCCGAGCTCGGCAGCAGGGGTACCCCTGCTGTCTCGTCCGAGGAATTCTATCTCCCTGTCGAAAAGGAACCTCCCCCGGTCTCGACGTTCATCATAACCCATTCTTCCCCATCTTCACCCAAGACTTCTCAGCGGTTGTCGGCAGTCAATCGAACCTTGTCCTGCTCACAATGTCTACACCAAGACATATATTGAGGGCGGGGGCGCGGTGTATGCGGTCTGCACCACAGAGGAGGTCTATAATACCATGCTTGCGAACGTTCTCGACGACAGACGCGGCGCGCGACGGGGCGGCGACGACGACAAGTTCGACGACGAGCGGCGGCGGCAATGGGGGAACAAGCGCGAGCAGGGCAGATCGCGAGACTCACTTTGGCTTCAAGACAGTAACCGAGTCAGAGAAGACACAACGCGTGGCCGAGGTATTCAGCAGCGTCGCCGAGACGTACGACCGTATGAATGACCTGATGTCCTTTGGTTGGCACCGGATATGGAAGTAAGCAGCAGCAGCATTAGCACCAGTCTACCTTCTCTTTCTCTCTCTCTCTCTTTCTCTCCCCATATTTGCCTTTCTCCGATCGTTGTCGCTCACCTCTTTCGTGTCTCCTCCAAACAGAGATCACTACGTCTCAACCCTCAACCCAGGCGCCCACCCGCCCAACACGCCTCCACCCCCCCAGCACATCCTCGACATAGCCGGCGGCACCGGCGACATCGCCTTCCGCCACCTCGCTCACGCCCACAACCTCAACGCCAACCCCGACGTGCACGTGACCATCTCCGACATCAACCCTTCCATGCTGGCCGTAGGCCGGCAGCGCTCCCTCGCCCTCCCAGCCTCCCAACAGGCCGCCCTCTCCTTCCTCGAGGCCAACGCCGAGGACCTCCGCTCCGCTGGCGTCCCCGATGCTTCCGTCGACCTGTACACCGTCGCCTTCGGCATCCGCAACTTCAGCAATATCCCCTTGGCTCTCGCCGAAGCCTACCGCGTCCTGAAGCCAGGCGGCGTTCTCGCCGTGCTTGAGTTCTCAAAGGTCGACAAGTACCCGCTCTTCAACGCCGTCTACAAGCGCTGGAGCTTCGGCGCCATCCCCCTCATCGGCCAGATCGTCGCCGGCGACCGCGACAGCTACCAGTACCTGGTCGAGAGCATCGAGCGCTTTCCCAGCCAGGAGGAATTCCGCGACATGATCCTCGCCGCGGGCTTCGTCGTGGGTGGCGACGGCTGGGAGGACTTGACTGGTGGTGTGGCGGCCATACATCGAGGCATGAAGCCTCTGGATAAGTAAAGAGGATGTGGACCACATCCCCTGGAAATTCAAATAAAGAAAATAGAAAGGTGAAATGAAGATAAAAAAGAATCAATGAGATCACTCCGCCATCCATTTTGCAACCCCTCACCTCCTGTTCGGGACAGTCCTCCTTGCGAAATACCCACCCAAGTACGCAGGTGAGCTCATGTCCTAGCTGTGATGTTGTACATATAACATTGAGCATGGTCTTTGTCTCTACTCTCTCTACTTTCCTCCTCTTTCAAACGCGATGTCCACCCCTTCATCGTCCACTACGGGTGACCGCTACACAGAGCTTGTTTAGTAGACTGCTTCTATTGCACTCAAACTAGGGGTAATAAATAGAAAGACAGCATTCATCAAATGAGCCACCTAATCAATACTCCTCTCCTCTTAAACCTCTATCTATTCATCATCAATATCGTGTCCATGAGAAAACATACAGTAGAAAACAGTATCTGGTACAAGCAACCCTAAATAATAAGAAATAAAAACGCGTCAAGTGATATTCTTTTTTCTTTCTTTTACCCGGAAACCTAACAAGAACACGACCTTTGAAGAGAGAGAGAAAAAAAATACTTTGCTCAAAGCTACTATGTGATTGGAGAAAGGGTGTGAGAGAGAAGAACCTCAAAAAAGAAAGGCAAGAAGTAACGCAACACGCCCCCCGCCTGCCTCTCACGCAAACCAGCGTTCCCCCCGAGCCTGATTCTAAGACAAATAGAAGAAAGCCTGTCCTGATCTAAACTATGAGACGGTGATGGTTCTTTTGTCGGCAAGTCGAAGATGGAGTGTTGTAGTCAGAGATCACGCTTTCCGATGCACATCAGGCCCACCGCCCAAAAAGTGTAATACAGCGGATGGACGAGGGCCGCCAGCATTGCGTGCCAGATACAACCCAACCGCGGGAAATTATGTCCTCCACCCCCCTTTCCATGCCTCCAAGAGTATGCTGCGACGCCACAAAGGGGGTTATTTAGGATTCAGCAGTGGATGCTGCAGCGGGTGGCGCAGGCGAGCCATTGCCACCTTCGCCCTTCAGCCCCCCGCCACCCCGGCCTCGACCCCGCCCGCCGCGTTCACCTCCCCGTCCGCGAGCGCCACGACCGCCACGGCGGCCAGCTCCCTCACTATCAGACGCTGTGCCACCGGCGCCGCTGCTCTGGTAACCACTTCCGCGGCCAGTGCTTGATGCTGCACCCCGGCTGCTACCCCATGTGCCTGCGTTACCAGTTCGGCCGGTGAAGTCCCTGGCGCGAGGTGTGAAGAGCTTGAATAGAGGCTTGGATCGGTCGCCTCCCGTCTTATGCTCCTCCGACAGTCGCTCCAGCGCACCATCTCGGTCGTCCGTGGTCTTGAACTGCACCACCTTGTTGGCTTGGCCCCACTTAATCACCTCCACAACCTTGGGCTGATCCTCCGGTGCGAACAGCTTCCGGAGTTCCTCGTCTGATACAGACGAGGCATTCATAACGAATAATCCAATGATGTCGCTGGCCTTTGGTGGCGCTGGAGATGGTGCGGCGCCCTCAGGGCCGTGAGCGTTCCCATTGGCGCCGGTGGGCTTCTCGTTCTCCTTCGTGTTGGTATCAGGTGCTGGGGTTGTAGGTTTCGCCTGAGCAGGAGCTGGTGATTGTTTGGCCGGCTTTTCGGACGGCTGTCGCTGGGGCGCGGGTGTCGGAACAGGTGCGGACGATGCTGTGGCAGCAACGGGTGGTGCGGCTGTCGCGGACATTGGTTGCTGCTTTGCGCCGCGGTGGGAGAAGTTGAAGCCCTGAGCCTTCATTTCCGTCCCGATCCGGCCGTCCTGTATCTCCAGCACCAGCCAGCCGAAGGCAGCATCCGCCAAGTTGAAGTTCCACATATTCTTGAATGCGCTCTCGTCGACCTGTCCCAAGGCCGGCGTACCGCCATGTGCGCCGCCGAAGGGGTTCCCACTACCAGCCTGGGAAGGCATCTTCTCCACCACACCCAGTGCGTTCTTCAGCAGGCTCTGCTGCGCCTCGTTCTGTTGGATGGCAGGTTCCACCTCTGCCTTGACCGTCTCCCACACGTCGTTGAAGGATGCCTTGCTAGCAGCCAGCTTTCCACGGTAGTGATCAAGTGTGGGGTTGACACTGAACTCGTTGTAGGAGCTGCCATACCGGAAATGCAGGCCAGCGGATATGGAGAAGTCGGCCTTCAGGTTGACAGAGAGCTGGTTCAGAATGCCCTCGCGGGCGGGGGAGGCATGAGTGACAAAGACGCGTGTCTCGGTCGGATCGTACACCCTGTTGGCCGTATCGACCAGCTCACCCATCTGTAGCAATGTAGTCCACATGGTACCCTGGCCACCCGCGATGGTCGTCCGGCCCTCGCCATTGTCGAACAGCTTGTGCATGACAACTGCGCCTCCAAGGCCGAGCAGCCTCAGCTTGACACCGGCCACCTCGAGTAGCATGGACTGCGCCTCGTCGATAATGTGAAGGTTCTTGACTCGGTACTCCCTAGAACGGAACTTCTCCAACACTCGTACATCTTCGCAGGCGCCCCAGACAGTGTAGACGGGAATCTCGAGCTCATAGGCTGGGTTGCCTTGGTTTGGGGTGACAAACATAGGCAGCTCCGAGAGAGGCAGCTGCTCGGGCCTGTATCGCTGCTTGACAGAGCCAGGCCCGCCGTTCGCAATTCCCTTCTTCACCTCTTCAGTTATAAGAGGGGAGTACTGGGCCACATGCTTCAGGGTCCTATCCAACACAATTCTTATCAGCCACATACCCAGATACTATTCTGCATCTCTTTTGGTTCGCTCCCAACTCACTTCTCCGCAATGCGTTCCAAGGAGGATTCGTCGTAGAAACCGAAGTCGCCGGTATGAATGACATAGTTGGCCTGCGCCTTCCTCGCGAGCTCGTTAAAGGACCGCAGGTGACCTATTGAAGGCAAGGGGACGGGTGAGATCAGCAAATCGGTACGGCACCCCACTGAGACTGGATTTGATGAGTAGGCACGTGGACTTACCTCGAACATCGGCGACGCAGAGGATACGAATAGATCCAGTGTCGATGATACGGCCCTGGTTGGGGGAGGAGAGGAACGGCTCCAGGGGCAGGGACGGTCTGGGGGGGAACACCGCCGTTGGGCATGTAGCCACCGGGGTTGTTGTAATGGCGAGGAGGTTGCTGCTCATGGTGAGGATGTGAGCCGTTAGCCCGAGTAGGGAGAGGGGTGCGCCAGGCGCCCATGTGCTTGTTGGCTCCAGACATGTTTGACGAAAATAGGGGGGAGGGGGGGAGGGGGGGAGGAGAGGATGGCCGCGCAGGAGAGGAAAGGGGTTTGTAGCAGAAGACGAAGTTCAAATGGGACAAGAGACGAGATGTACAACGGAAGGGTGGTGGTTTGGATGGGGCACGCCCAACAATAACAAGGGTGGGGGTGTTTCCTATGTCGGAGAGGGAGGGACACGGAGGGGAGAGGGGTGTTTTGATAGACTGGCAAGACTCAAACAATTGATAAATGACAAAGGGCGCTCACGTTGGCCATTCTAGGATTGAAGAGTTCAGAGGGAGAGGACAGCCGGCGTTGGTTGGGAGGGTGGTGGTGGTGATTGGGGAGATGGGGTGGGCGAGTAAGACGTGAGCTTTGTCACTGCCAGAAAGAGACGAGGACGAAGTGTCTACCCTCAATGGCTCAGAAGCTTGGGCCTCGTTCAACGCTCTCTCGCAGGTTGTGTGGGCGTGGTGCGTGTCTGTACGTCTTGGGACACTTCTTTGAAAGGTCGTGGGTCGCAAAGAGCCTCGCTGGGCAAAACTGTGGGGCGAATCGTGTGTCGGACGGCGGCCTGCAGGCAGAGAGAAAATAGTAGTTGTCAATTTCGATTCGATAAAGGGTAGGGTCCTTGAGACAGCCCTAGGTATCGTACGGGCTTGTGAGGTGGTGGAGGACGGTCGTGATCGATGCTGTCGACGTGTCGGAAGGGGGATGCGATTTGGATTTGGCAATGATGAGTTGCGCTTCTTTCCCTCGTTCCTTACTCTTTCGCGCGTTCTGACTTGCAAATCTATACGCTAACAGCTCCATCCTCACGTCGAGCTCCTCGCGACCGAACCTTGCCAGCTAGGCACCAGAACTTACCTTTTAGGGGTTAGCGTGTATCCAACTGCGCTAAAGTTTATTGACCTCCTTTGCGAGCCCGTGCGTCTAGAGCCACATGCAAATAGGGACGCTTCATTTGGGAGGTGACGGATGCCATACGTACGAAGATGTGTGTATATATGGTATTTCCTACGAATTATTACTATTCGACTTCATTCGAATAGGGAAGTCGTAATTAGACTGCTAAATGGCCAAAACCTCTTGAAATCGCATCCCTTTTCTCTCTCTTCTTGTTCCTCGAGGAACATTGCCCTCATCAGCATAGTCGTCTCAACATGCAATACCGCCATTCTCAAGTGTTGTCCTTTTTAAATGCCGAGTTTCTTTACTTTACTACTAAACGCTCCAAGGGGAGGTGGTTAACTAGGTACGTATGTATGTATAGTATAGAAAGTAGGGAGCAGAAAGAATGCTTCGAAATAATTCGGAAGTGACCCGCCTGCTCCTTGTCATCCCAACAGTGCAGCTGAAGCCAGTCACATCCACAAACTCCATGCTTATGCAGATATTACTACGTTAGATCCAGAATACCTCCCTCCCGGTCACCCTTCCTCCTTTCTGCAGGATACGTATCATGACAGCCTCCTTCTATCGCTGGTCCCTCCTGCTTATGCTGATGTATGCACTCCACGCGCCCAGTCAGCTGCCCCCATGTATATATTTTTGTTTTTCGTTTCGATTTCACTCCCCCTCCGGTCTCCCCAGACTTTGTCGCTTCTTTCACCACATTTCATCTTCGTCCTGATGTCGTTGATGGTCATGGCCATCGTAGTAGAGCTGCTGCTGCCCGTATGCGTCGTGCCCATATCTATATCCGCCATCTTGCCCATGATGTCCTTCATACCCACCGTGCGCCTGGCCCTGGTCGTAATCGTACGGCTCGCCATTTTCATCGACGTAATCGCCCTCAGAGTCACCGTATTGGTTGGATGACTAGACAGTTCGTTAGAAAAGACGTTGGATAACCAAAAAGAAATTGCACACGGATTATTTTTATTTTTTTTGTGAAAAGAGATGTTAACTCTGGAGGGCGAAGGAAATTAGGTTACTGACCCGGTGGTACTCAAAGTTGTACTGGTCGATGCTGTTCTGGGCCGACTGCTGCTGCTGCATCTGCTGCTCCATGTAGGCCTGTTGGGCCTCCTGCTCCTTGCGCTGCCTCTCCTCCTCCAGGCGCTTTTGCTGTGGCGAGACAGGTACCTGGAGCTGCGGGTGCATAGCCTGAATCTTGGCCAGATACGAGTACATGAAGTTGCTGAGTAGGACTTGCGAGAGGAGGTTCCGCTTGGGGTTTGCAAGTTTGATGTGGGCCATGCGGTAGATGGCCCGTTCTTCCAGGATCGGGAATCGCGTATACGGGTAGTCGACATCGGGTTTGAGCAGTCTTGGTGGTGGCGCCTCGGGCGAGGGCGGGCGTAGCTGCTTTCTGCTCGAGGAGTCTCTCTCGGACTTTTTCTTGTTTCCAAAAATGGACCCAAAGAACCCATCCTTCTCCTTTCTGCCGTCACTCGACTTGCGGCTGGTGTCTTTCTTCCTCTCCTCCTGGAGCTTACTATCGACGCTGTCTCGGTCCAGGAGAAGGCTTTCTCTCCCTTTCGCAACGACATTTTCGATCGAGTTTTGGAGCACGTCAAGTCGAGCAATCTCGTGCGGCTTCTCGGCAGCCTTTGTTGACTTGGATCTCCTCGCCTGTTCATCCCTCTCCTTTTCTCGTTCCTTTTCCTTCTCCTTCTTTTTCTTGTCCTCGCTCTTGAACCACTTCCAGCCGCTGCTTGACTTGGTTGACTCGCCGTCGCTGTCCCTCTTCTTCCGGTCAGATTCTGCTGTGAAGGTCGGTACCATCGTGAGGTTGTCTGTGCGGATGGGGCCATGCCCAGGAGATGTAATATCATTCATGGTCTTGGTCGCGTTTCCTGGTACGTTATCGAGTGGCGCGGGCGGCATGGCCTGGCGCCCTGACGGTGTGCGTTGATTATCGCGAGAATACGTGCGCTGTTCAACTCTTTCCTGTGGGCGATGCTGCGGGACCGGCGGGGCTTGTGATTCCTGAGAATGCTGCGCCCTCGCTGATTGTGAAGATGATCTTTCTGGAAACTGTCTTGTGGCGTCTAATTGCTCGAACTGGGGGGTCTGCTCAATATAGGGTGCATGCTCGACGGCCTGCACTGTCTCTTCGGGATCTGAAGCACTTCTTCCGTGGCTCTGCTGCTCTTGTTGCTCTGGTGCAGATTCGAAAGCCTGGGTGGCGGAAGGCTCGACAATCTGCGGGGGTGTCTCTCGCGAGAAGCCCTGCTGCCGCTTGATAGACTTTTTCGGTCTCGAGAAGTTTTCCGTTGACACTGGCTCGGTCTGCACGCGAGATATTCCTGGTCCGGGAGGCGCATCCATTGTCGGCATCGGTGGAAGAGGTTCTTCCTGGGTATCAGACAGCTTCTGTGCCATGCGTTTGGAGAAAGCCGATCGGTCGCCGCGCATGCTTCCACCCTTCCGGTACTGCGTTCGGGTTGACCGCCGCAGACCCATGCCCGGTGCCACGGGCAGGATGACATCGCTCGAGGCTCCCTCGGAGGCATCCTTTGTCAATTTTTGTACGGCCTTGGTCGGGTCCTTGACAAGCTCGTCCAGGCTTAGCTCTGGTGTCGCATATCCGTTGAGTGACTTCTGCCGTTCTAATCTCTCCGCACCGTCCACGTAGCCCTCGCCTCCGCGACCACCTGAGTTGTCAATCTGGCGGGACAGTTTAGACTTGGTACGTCGCAGACCAAAAGAGTCATTGCGCTGAACTCCCTCAGCGGAAAGCATCGACTCTCCGGACCTCCTCTTCATCGAGGTGACCCTCCTCTCGAGGAAGCTCTTGAACTGCTCTGGTGCCAGCTCAGGGTGCACGTTGGCAGGCACCCAGAGCAGCCGAGAGGGATCGGACTCGTCGTCATCGCCGGTGGGTGCTATTGAGGGGATCGGGACTATGCCCTGGAAAGGCATCAGGTCAGGATCACTACCCACATCCATCGACATCCGCCGCAGAGCCTGCAGGTTGCTTAGCTCCTGGGCAATGTCTCTTGGATTGTCGATGTTGGTCATGGGCATGGAACTCTCTGCGGCCTGGAAGTCCCGCAGGGAAGGTGTTGGCGACATGGGCCCCGAGGGCGACATGGGCCCATTCTCGGAGGACGGCATCCTCTGTATAGACATTCGCGACGGCATAGTGTTGGACTTTTTTACAGTAGTGTTCGCATCTTGGGGCGACAGATGGGTCGTATCGGTCTGCGAGCGCTGCAAGGCGCGCCGGGGGTCGTCGGGCTCGCCTGTGTCTCTGGTCCGGCTCGGCAGCTGGTCTTCCCCATAAGAGAGGAAGCTTAGAGGTCGGCTCTTGCGGTTCTCGCGAGACTCGGTGTCTGAATCGTTGTCATCGGACCCGTATAGAGTGCCTATTGCCTCTGTGACGTGGTGACTAGGGTCTGATATGGAGAGCGTGTTGGCGTGACCACGTCGGCTTGCAAAGCTGCCGCCAACATCGCGAGGCCTAGATGAGGTCTAATAAAGTTGGCAACATGTGTCAGTCCGACTAGGTCAAATCCATGCGTGTCTGTGTGTGTGTATGAAGACGTAGCTGCTTTCCCACGAGGACCCACGGGTCGGAAGCATTTGAGGGACCACAGCAGCATGTATTGCGTAGCAGCAGCAGTCAGATCCCCGCACCGCACCAGCATCCCTTGAGGGGAGGGGGATTCAACGGTCGCCGGTTCTCCTTAACAGCAGCGCAAGAGGCAAGCAGGCAAAGACACAGGAAGAAGAAACATACCATCATCTGGAGTCGAGGAGAGGCCTCGTCCCAAGGCCTTTCCTAAGCCAGCAGTCCTCCCCCTTGCTGTTCGCCCCTTTATACACAGTGATCGTCTGACGTTAAAAGCTAGAGAAGGTTTTCGGTCGCGTCACGATCACACGGGGCGGGAGGGGTTGGTCGGCTGGGCGAGGCAGGGGCGCCGGCGTACGGAGAGCAGAGAAGAGAGCAGCAAAGTTTGAGGCAAGGACAGAGCGTTTTCCAGAGTGAAGCGATTCGGACGAAATCAAATTCAGGAGATGGGCGATAGAGTGGATCTCGCAGGACTGTGAGTGTGTCTCCGTCGCAATCGGGCTTAAAGACGGTACTATTGAGAGACAATATGGTGGAAGGGTCAGGCTGTTAAGGGGGGGGGGGGGCTCGCTGCTCGAGGCTCAGTCCAGGTGGCACGGGTGGATCAGGCAGCCGGGGTCAAGTTTAACTTCGTTCCCTTTCTTGTCTTGTTGGACAAACGTGCCTAGAGGATTGGGGCCTTGTTGAAATGTAAGCTGCGTTAGGATCGTGGGTGACTTGTGAAAAGGAGATCGTATTGCATTGTACAGTTTAACAAGGTGACCAGATTGGTGAAGAAAAATGCATGGAGGAGACGCTGCAGGCAGAAACGCAGATGCCAAAACACCGGTGGGGGGGCGGGTTGTACAAGAGAGGAGGGTGTGTTGTCCCAGCGTCCCGAGGACGTCGTCGAGTACTGTAGAGCCCAGTTTCCAGAGGTGAGATTTAGGCTTGGCTCCAATAGTTTTCTAGAAGAGAAGTCGAACTAGGGGCGACTGGGGCTGGACTCCACCCCCCATTTTTTGGGATCTGGGACCTAACAGGCCTCTCCCGCTGTCGTCTGGTGAGCCCTGGTGCCCTGATAGGGGCCCTCACTTGCAATATCGTCATTAAGCGCCTAGGTTGCAAGCCACTAACCTGCCCCCCCTCACCCCTAAAGAATAGTGGGAAGGATCCCCCCAGAGAGTTGCATTAGCGCGTAGAAAGCCGTTCCACGGTTTCCCCCTTCTGGAGGCTTTTTGACATTGAGTTCATCTCAAGGCTTTGTTGACCAAAAAAGGTACCACTTAAGACCAGTCCAAGTGTGTTTCTTTCTTCTCCTTCTTCCTCTTCTTCTTCAGGAACCAAGCCATGGGAAAATTGGACTGTATTGGAATTATCGTACGGAAATAGTATGCTGCCGAAGCGACGGGTTGAATGCCCAAGTCTTGACTAGTCAGTCTTTTACGTCCTTGATTGATGTCTGACAAAGATCTCGAGCCTGAACGGTCCACTGTCAGTCCGAAGTGGGCCCTCCTCTCACCTCGCTTTCGGGACCAGCCATGCTTGCCCAAACCAGGGCCCATTGACACAAGAGCCACCAGCATGAAGAAGGACCTTGAATCGTGGCAGGTATCCTATAATTATTCTGGAGCACTGGATCGACCTTGGCCTTTCGGCTCTCCTGACCAAACACAGCGACACGACACAGGAAACAACTTACAGTAAGGCTTGCAAGTGCTGGATCAGAGCTCCACCTCGTTATCAGGAACCAGCAAACAACAACCATCACCAACAGCATGCAAGGACAACCAGCAGCAACAGACAAGATTTGAAAGGCAGATCTGCAAGTGTCGTCATCAGTATCGAACGTTTCGCGGGGCTGGCTGCGTCGCGATGCCTGTTGTCCTTCTGACCCTTTCCGTTTTTCGCACCACTGGGAGCGTCCCGCTGGGCCGAGACTTCTCCCTTCTAGACGACTCGCCAGGCTCAGATGTCATTTGGGGACCTCGAAAAGGAAGCTTGGGACTCATCTTCCTCGTTGTCGGACTACTCTGCCCGTTGCATGCCAAATCTGTCCTTTGCTGATCGTTCAGGCTTTGGTCTTTCTTTTACACATGTTCATCAACCCCATCATGAAGACCCCACGAATCGTCAAGATCTACTGAAGCAACAGCTCAAAATGTTGGATGGCCACATCTTTGAATTCCAACAATTTTGAGCTGGATCTGTGGGAGTCTACCCCATTTCTATCAAATTGGACCAGGGCAGTCCGGCTGCTGCGGAACTCAGTGGGTTTTCCTTCAATCAGGACGCACTCTCGACCTAGAAGAGGAGTTCGGAGTCACTGTGCCGCGTGCATGAGCTCCAGCAAGGTACCCCCGTACGGTACATCGAGTGGTCAGAGAAGTGATCGCAGCCTGGTCGCAGCACCATCACAGCCCAGTGGCACCTTGGAAGGAGGATCTTGTCGATGTGGGTTATTATTCAGAGGGAAGACCTGAGGTTCATCTCTGTGCTGTGCATTGGAAGCACGCACATACGTGTCACTCACGCCGTGGCTGGGTTATGAGAGGACCCTCTTTTGCATATCCATTGCAGAACTCCTTGATGCAAGACGACGCTGTGTCCCGTCAAGATCCCGGGTGCACTGAGAGATTGCCGTCGAGCTCCTACTCAGGTATCCCATATGAAGGCTGATGAAAAGGAAGATTCATGTTCGGCATAACCGTCCTTGTTTCGCAATACAACCTATCGGGTAACGACGCCAAGCAGCGCTACCTTGGAAACCGTGGGATATGAACACAAAATGGGGGGCGGGGGGCGTTCCTATAGCCCTACGAGGCGCCCGCGATCTACGGGACGATGTAGCACCGCATCTTACATCTCAGGAACTTGAGGTCCACCTGGACCCAAAGGTCTGGGCTCCAGTGCGTCGAATCTCGGATAGGTTGATCTATTATCACGAAGAGACTCTCGTGATGATCTCCTCTAGGCTCCTGGGGCTCACAGTAGGCCTGGACAATATTCGACGTCAAGTGTGAGATATAGTCTGCCCCTCTCAGCCCTCCCCCCCTCCTTTTTTCTTTCATATGTGTCATCGCAGGTTGACTTGTGAAGACAGGTCTGTTCAAGTCGTGCTGAAGTAGCAGCGTGTTGAGGTCTTCCTTAGACGGTCTGCTCTGGATACAACCTCAACCAAGTAGGTGGGTTGATGATCTTGGTGGGAACCTGCAGACTTGTTCCACAGAAACAACCTTAACCTTGACTCTACTTTCTCGGCCCAAATCGAGCGAGAATGCGGGACCCCGGATCTTCTGGCGGTTGGGATTGATCCCCGCATGATCTGCAGGGATAATCTCCAGAATCCTGCCTTGCCTTGACTTTTGGCAACTCACTTGACGAGCCCTTTCCTGCAGGTTGCTACCCTTTTCCGCCTCAAAGGAAATCTTTCCACTCCGGATAATTTAGTGTCATCTCGGTCCTGACAATGTACCGAACTATTTGGTCTCCTCGCCGCCTTTTGTTGCCAGTTTTCTTATTGGCTCGAGCAAAGACGGCGCGAGATGCGTAGATGATAAGTTCATCATCATATATCAAGGTGAGAAGTCCCCCTTTCATGATGCTCAGGCTTGCACGAATCAACACCTTTGGGGTGTCAAGCTCTCAAACATGGTGGTATTGAACCTATTCTTTGGCCTGCTGGCTGCTGTGCCTGTCCTGGGCGACTCGTGCTGGCGGAACACCACCTGCAGCGCCATCACAGAGGCCGCCTTTCCGGGCGTATGGGACGACGACATCTTCGCCCCTGACTCTCGCCTCGTCCCTCCGCAGTCCATCCTCTCAGCGAGCAACGGCGAGATCATCTCCTCTTGGAACGGCACTGCGAATCTTGCCGGCAATGGCTCCCAGCTCGTCTTCGACTTCGGCAAGGAGGTGGGTGGCATCGTCCACCTGGAATTCACTGCCTCTGGGAACAGCTCCGGTGCCGTGGGTCTCGCCTTCACCGAGGGGAAGAACTGGATAGGTGAGTGGTCTGATTCGTCGAACGGCGAGTTTGTCGGGCCTGACGGCGCCATCTACGCCAACTTCACCGGGGCGGGCGACGTCAGCTATGTGATGCCCGACGAGCGGCTGCGGGGTGGTTTCCGGTACTTGACGCTGTTCCTCATTGCCGAGTCCGCCTCTGTGGACCTGTCGTCGATCCAGCTCGAGATCGGCTTCCAGCCCACGTGGTCAAACCTGAAGGCGTACCAGGGGTACTTTCACAGCTCGGATGCCCTGCTGAACGCCATCTGGTACTCGGGCGCGTACACTCTGCAGACGAATGCGGTGCCTGTCAACTTTGGAAGATGGGTCCCTTTCTTGCACACGGGCTGGGCGAACAATGGTACGCTGGGTCCTGGTGACACCATCATCGTGGACGGTGCGAAGCGCGACAGGGCGGTCTGGCCTGGTGATATGGGTGTCGCCGTGCCGTCGACTTTTGTCTCCATTGGGGATCTCGACAGTGTCAAGAATGCCCTCCAGACCATGTACAACAACCAGAACGCGGATGGATCGTTTCCCGAAGCAGGGCCCCCTCTTCTTCAACAGGATAGCGACACGTACCACATGTGGACCATGATCGGCACATACAACTACCTCCTCTTCACCAACGATACAGCCTTCCTTGCCGAGAACTACGATGGCTACCTGCGGGCCATGGACTTTATCTACGGCAAGGTCCTGGCCCCAGGCCTCCTCAACGTCACAGGGACGCGGGACTGGGCACGTCTGCAGACAGGCTTCAACATGTCCGAGGCACAGATGATCCTCTATCGCACGCTCAACACTGGATCGTCCCTGGCCGAGTGGATAGGTGACACGGCCAACAGCACACTCTGGCTGTCCCGCGCGTCCTCCCTCCAGAACGCCACGTTGGAGTACTGCTTCGACTTCTCGTACGGCGCCTTCAAGGACAACGCCACCGCTACTACCCTGCACCCACAGGACGCAAACAGCATGTCAGTGCTCTTTGGGCTTGTGGACGCAGACAGCGACACGGCGCAGAGCATTTCGTCCCGCCTTACAGAAAACTGGACGCCCATCGGGCCCAACAGCCCCGAGCTGCCGGGGAACATCTCCCCCTTTATCAGCGGGTTCGAGGTGCAGGCCCATCTCACGGCGGGGCAGACAGAACGCGCGCTCCAGCTGATCCGCGACAGCTGGGGCTGGTACCTGCACAACCCCAACGGCTCGCAGTCGACGGTGATGGAGGGGTACCTGATCAACGGCACCTTTGGCTACCGGTGGGCGCGGGGGTACGACAACGACTTCAGCTACCCGTCGCACTCGCACGGGTGGTCGTCCGGGCCGACGTCTGCCTTGACCGAGTATGTGCTGGGGCTGAGCGTCACGGGGAGGGTGGGCAGCACCTGGAGCTTTGCGCCGCAGTTTGGCAACCTCAGTTTTGCCGAGGGCGGGTTCAGCACGAGCCTGGGCAAGTTCAGCGCCGCGTGGACGACTGGTGGTGGAGGAGCAGGAGGCTATACGGCGCGGGTGAACACGCCGACGGGGACGCTGGGGAATTTGACGCTGCCGGTGGTGGAGCAGGGGGTGCTACCGACTGTGAACGTGGATGGACAGGAGGTTGAGGCGACCTGGCTGAGGAAGAGTGGGGTGGTATTCGATACGGTGCTGGTGAGCGATGTCAAGGGTGGGAATCATAGTATTGTGGTGACCTAAATGTTCATTTGTCTATATTTGGGATAAATATAGTTTAGGAATATGTGTCTGTGAGTCTGTGACTGTCTTTGTCTTTTGGTGTATCTGCTACTGCTGTCTAAGCCTCTCATCGTCTACCGCTCCTTATCGCTTCTATATACAACAACATCCACAGCAACACTAAGGCATGGCAACCTGTCTTGAGCAGGAAGATTCACCGACACACTCACCACTCTACTCCCTCTCCTCTCTCTGTCGCGCCAGCTCAACAACATCCACCCACCGCGCCGGCCTCTCCCTCGTCTCCCTTCCCACCCTTTCCGCCTCCACCCCAAACTCCACCAGGCTCTTCTCATCTGCCCACTCTCCAGTAGCCATCAATCCCACAGGAATCTTGCCCAGCGTTCCCTTCCCAGCGACCTTCAGTCCTCCTTTGTCCCCCTTGCCGTCACCAGGACTCGCATACCCAGCAGGAACACTGATGCTGGGCAGCCCACAAAAGTTGGCCAACCACACATACCGCATGCTCTCGATGGTCTTGTCGCCGTCGGTCAGGCCGTAGCGGAGCTCCCCTTTCTCGTCGTGGATGCGCCAGCCTGCGCAGGCGGTGGTCGGGGTGACGAGGAGCATGCCTGGGTGCTGGGACCAGAGGTGGGAAAGGTGCATCATTAGGCAGCGGCGGAGTTTTTGGGCGAGGAGGTAGTCCGTGGCCGGGGTTGTCCTGCCTAGGGCTAGTAGGATGCTGTAGTAATAAGGGAAGGTGCGGGGTCAGCTGTGTTTTTTGTCTCCTTCTATACTTCCTTGTTCCTTCTCCTTCTTCTTCTTCTTCTTCTTCTTCTTCTTTCTTTCCTCGTCATTAAAAGAGCAATCACTTCCCTCCTTCCTTTTCTTCTTCTTTTTCTTCTTCATCTTTCCTTTGGGCTAGTCAGTTTGGCTGGACTTACCGATTTCCCCATGTCAGGTTATCATACTTGGGCAACAACGTCGACGCATCCGTCAACACCGTCATGGCATGAGCAATCTGGCCCTCCTTCAAGAACGGAATCTCGACCTCCACAACCTTATACCCGCCCTCCGCCACCAGCCTGTCGACCATGTCCCGACACAGCTCCCGCACGGCCGGCGCGCAGTCATCAAACCAAGCCCTGCACACCCCCAGAACCTTGGGCCGATCCGGGGCGTAGTCCACTTCGAGCAGCCTCGCGGCAGACAGCACCCTCGGCACATGGGGAAAGCCAAAAGGCGAGGCCGGGTGTGGCTGGGCGATGACCTCGAAGACGGCAGCCAGGGACGCGACATCACAGGCCATGGGGCCCAGCACGGCGCAGGTGTTGCTATGATTCTCGCTCGGCCAGAACGAGACGCGGTTGTGCGTGGGCTTCAGGCCAAAGATGTTGCAGTAGCTGGAGGGGATCCTGATGCTGCCGCCGCCGTCGGACCCGAGACCGATGGGGATGAGGCCGAGGCCTATGGCACCGCCTGTGCCTGAGGAGGACCCTCCTGTGTAGTAATCCTGGTTGAAGGGGTTTCGAGGCGTTCCCCAGATGGGCTGGTTGCCTGTAGTATCCATGCCAAATTCGTGCATGCTCGTCTTGCCCACGATGACGACGCCTGCCTCTTGGAGTTTCCGGACGCACCACGACGTGATGCTGTCGTTGAGAGCCCGGGGTTCCGCCGTGTAGTCGTTCGCAGAACCGAGACAGCTCTTGTACCCATCCAGGTCGTACTCGTCCTTGATGGCACACGGCACACCGTCCAGTGGACCGATCGAGCGGCTCTCGCGGTACCGCTGGGTTGACGCCTCTGCGGCCTGGAGCACGAGATTGGCCTTGCTCTCGAAGAAGTAGAGGTGGTGGGGTCCCTTGGGCTCGATGTCTCGCCTGATCAGGGGCAGGATGGCCTTAGCTACGTCGGTGGGGGTGAGTTCTCCACTGAGGTAGAGATTGCGGTAGGTCGAGGCTGAATAATAGGTGGTGAGAGACAGAGGTTTGGAAGGTGTAGCTGAGAGTGGCACTTTAGTTGTTGTTTCTCCGTTGCCGTTGCCGTTGCTGTGTAGATGTGATGGTGTCGTTGTACCGTCGTCGCCGTTGTTGTTATTCTGATTGTCACCATTGCCAGAATTGAGAAACTCATGGTCTACAGGGACAACAGTCGGGTCATGGAGCGGCTCATAGTCCTCAAGCTCGGAACGCAGCCTACGCAGGGACGAGAAGCCGGCGTTGGCCCAGATCACCTCGCGGACGGGGCGAATCAGCTCCATCACGTAGACAGCGAGCACCAGCAGCCATCCTCGTATGGCTGGATTGTTCTGGTGCTCTGGTTTGTAAGGGCGATCTGGCCTGGTGAGAAATTGTCAGTATAAATGTGCATACATGCCCCGTAAGTGATTGTTACAAGTGGGTTGCCGAAGGGATAGCCTTTTTCTTCATTCCTCCCCCGTTCTCTTTCTCTTCTTTCTGGTTTTTTTTTTTTTTTTGTCACTTACCCTTTCAAGGGCTGTGGGTAGGCCCAAAATGGGCGGCTGGTATCTAACGACATGAGTTCTGTCCCTGGTTTGTCGCTGTTGTTGTGATGTGCATGAGACAAGAGGTGAGCCTTGGTTACTTTGCTCAGTGCTGTTGCTGACACTGCTGACCTGTCTCCGTCACGCCACCAGTGGTGATGAGCTGAGCCGATGAATGGGAATCCAAAAGAAAGGTTGAGAACTAAAGAATTGTGAAAGTGAATAATCCAACCAGCCTGCAGCCTTTGATGCTTCCTCCACGATCTGCAGAAAATGTATAAGCTGAAAGGAAAGGAAAAACCCGTGACAAGGCGAGGCTCGGGTGGCTAGCGGATCTCGAACAAAGGATTGTGTTGTGGAGATGGGAATAGCGTCAGTCCTCGGCCGTGTGTGAGGTATACAGGCGCGCGTGTGTGCATATGTGTGTGGTCTCCAAAGAAGCAAAAAAAGGAACCTCCCAAGTGTATCTCTCGAATGGCCCAAGCAGTACACATGTATCGACCGAATCTGCCGAAAATGTATAAACAACAAAGCCCTGGCCCCCTTCGTTTACGCAGTTTTAACTAAGCCCGAGATTCACCCAAAAAAAAAAAATTGTCCTTGTCCTAGGGTCTTTCTGGGGAGATCGGCCTCGATGGTTTTATACGTACTTTAAAGTAGGGAATGGGGTGGTGGGTTGGTCGGTTGATTGGTGAGCAACCCGGATCCCTCCCAGGACTCAGTGTACCAATCGATACTGCAAAGGGCGCGGCTGAGCAAGGAAATGGGGCCCCGTTGACTGCAGCTCCCAATACGAACGAGAGAAAGAGAGAGCATGTCCTATCAAGAACGCACAATGTCACCCTGCTTGAATAAGTAAGCATGCATGTGAGTATCTAAGAGTGCCGCGGCTCGAGCCAAAGACTAGAGAAATTGAAAAATGAGCATTGATGCTTCATTATCGGATGAACAAGATCAACGAGATGTAAGCAAGGACAGCACACTAGTCATCCACTTTTTCCCTTTTTCGTTGCCCCGAAAGGCCGTTGATGGGCACGCAGCAAGGGATGTCGTCTGTAGTAGAGGCCTATACAGTATGTATTTGTGTGGGCCCTGTCCTACAATGTGCTGCCGTACTATGCAGTTCGGTAATATGTTGTACATACAGAATATATGGCTCTTCCGATGTAGGCCTGGCAAGATTGCTCCGGAACGCTCGGCAAGTGGCCCACGAGCTTGCTATCGTTGTGGTCAAATACTACTATGTACAGTATGGTCTGATCTGCAGCAGGGCGTCAAGAATCCGCGGGGGTCCGCTCCGTGTGTGTTGGTATGCTGGGGCGGAACCCGCGGATAAGGAGCATTCTTGACAGCAATCGGAGATTAAAGTAAGCATCAGCATTCTGCAGCATGTCGACAGACTGCCTGTGCCATCTATCCTCGGGAGTTCTTATATGAATACCATATTATATTTCGTATGTAGGAATGCTTATTTAAATATAAGGTGCTGCTGGCATGAATGGGGCGGGAAAAGAAAAGAAAACCAAGGAAAACAATGAGGGGCCTCTCCGAAATCATGCTGTTCTAGGTACGCTTAAAAGTCCGAAAGAAGGTTGAGTGGGACTGCTTACACTGCTCATGCAGTCCCAGGGCACCCTTCTTTCAACTTCATTCGGGTCCTTTTGGCTGACAACACGGCCTGAAAACCTTGACCTGAGCAAATTGACCTCCATTTGTGCATTCACTGCAAATGTTGGACCGATATAGAAACAAGCCGAGATGATGGACTACAAGAAACTCGGCCAGTCATCATTATCACGGCCCCGAGAGCCCCAAAAGGGGGCACGCGGCGCTGGCAGGGCTAAATCGAGGGTCAAGTCAGGATGCCGGACGTGTAAGTAGGTGCTCCAGCCTCAACTTTTTCTTTTCCTTACCCCTTCCACCTTTCCACCTACGCATTTCCCCTCCTTTTTATATGTAGTTACTCATTCTTCTTACCTTCGTACAAGAATCAGAAAGGTCAAGTGTGACGAAGGCCGACCATCATGCACTCGCTGTGTCTCGACTGGCCGTGTATGTGACGGTTACGGAGTCTGGGGAGGCGGAGGCAGGGCGCATACAAGCAGCAGCAGCAGCAGCAGCAGCAGCAGCAGCCCTATCAAGCCAAGTCTCGTACCGGCTACGCCCAGGCCCACAACCCAGGACGAGCAGTGCTCTCTGGAGTGGTTCCGCTCCCGCACTGCCGTCAAGATCGGAGGGCCCTTTGTCTCGCCTTTCTGGAGCACCCTGGTCTTACAAACGGGCCTGCAGGAGCCGTGTGTCTTCAACGCCATGCTGGCTCTGAGCTCAGCGCACAGGCGGGTCTGTATCGGGAGCTATGAGGTAGGGTCTGAGGCGGCTCCGGACCCTTTGGAGCAGTTCACACTGCGCCAGTACAGCAAGGCCATCGGGCACCTCCTTGAACGGCATGCCGTTGTTGTTCCCCACGAAAGATCCTCGATTCGCGTCGCGCTGGTGACATGTTTGTTGTTTGTCTGCCTGGAACTGTTGCGCGGTCGATACCAGGCTGGCAATATCCACTTGCAAAACGGGGTCAAGATACTGGCCCTGCTGAACAAGGACATGGAGCAGCAGCAAGAGCATGGAGCAGCCGAGGGTGTGCAACACAACCATACGCTGTCAAACAGGGATCGTGCTGATGACTGGATCACGGATGCTTTTACGCGCATGAGGTTGCCTGCGGTGCACTGTGGTCAAGGGGACTGGCTTCCCCCAGGTAAACAGCGCTCCCTAAGCAGCAAGCTCCCGGCCACCTTTGCGTCGATGGCCCAGGCAAGGCAATCATTGGAAAGCTTCTTTGTCCATGTCTTGCATCTGAAACGACAGGCTGATCGCGGGGTCGCCATTGATAACAACTTTGCGACATCAGCCTCGAAAGTAAAGAGTCTGGCTGATATCCAATGTCGTCTCAAAGCGGGCCTGACAGCATGGCTGACCACGTACGAGGCATCAAGGGGAAAGCTCGAGGCCCAGATGACTGCCGTCTCGAGGATTGGGTACGAACTGCTCTTCCTGTACTATCTCATGGCCTGCATCATGGCCGATACGAGCCTCAGAGCAGACGACGAGATGGCCTTTGATTCTCAAGTTGCACGTTTCGAGAGCCTGGTTGCCCATGCAGACGGGGTCCTCGAGGCGATCCAGGCAGTTCACGCCACAGAAGATCCCATACACGGACTGGGTGCCAGGTACTGTCTTTTCACTGCCGATGTTGGCTGGGCGCCGCCTCTCTACTATACGGCCATACATTGCCGGATCTACCGCGTGAGGGTCCGGGCTATCGAGCTCTTGCGTGCCCTCCCCAGCAGGGAAGGTGTTTGGGACTCGTTATTTGCAGCACGTGTGGCGCAAGAAGTCTTACAGGTGGAAGAAGAAGAAGAAGAAGAAGAAGAAGAAGAAGTGGCAACTGGCCGGGATATCTTCTCAAGAGGTGGCCATGCATTGGAGGCTCGACCTTCTCCTGACCTAAATCTCCCTGACGGGCTGTCATCATCACGAAGAGTCTTTGATGTCCACGTCGTCTTGCCGGAAAGTATGGATACGAAGGTGACTTTGACCTGTAAACGAAGGGAGGACGATGGGAGTTGTCAACACATGACCAGAGAAATTTATCTTGATACTCCACGTGGTAGACAAGGAACTGGCTGAGAAGGGTCGAAACTTGATGTGATGGGTCCTATCAACTAAGTCCCTCTTGATCTGACCCAACCGGGGAAGGGGGAGGGAATATTACACGAAGCCGTGTGCTGGATCAATGTTCTCGTGACACAGAGCTTGTTCGAGTCATTCTGATTCTCAGAGTTGCTGGCCCTCCAGCTCTTTCTCGGTCCAGTTCCAAACATCCTTGGCCAGCTCAGCATCCAGCATGAGCCCTACCGGCTCGTACTTCCCAACCGGCTCATAATGCCGCCCACTGACGAGGCTCGCCACAGGCGCCGTCGCTGCCCACAGCTGGTTCTTGACGCCCTCCTCCACAGGCTTCCACAGCTTAGGCGCCACCTCGGTCTGCACCCACCGCATCTGCTCGTCCGCAGGCTCGCGCTTGAACAGCTGCGTCTCGACCTCGCCCGGGTCGACCGAGACGAAGACAAGCGCTGGGTATTTCTGTGCCAGCCCCTGCGTGTACAGCAGGTTTGCTGTCTTGCTCTGCAGGTAGCGCGGGACGGGCTTGACGCCCTCGAGGGACTTGAGCGTGTCGAATTGGATTTTCTCGGGGCCGACGTGCTTAAAGGCCGCGGAGGCGACGGTGACGACGCGAGTATCTGGGTGGGCGGCGGCTGTCTCTAGGAGTAGGGGGGTAAGGAGGCGGAGGAGGAGGGCGTGGCCTATGTGGTTGGTGCCCATGTGGATTTCGTAGCCCTCGGCCGTCAACGCAGGCGCGGCGCCCATGACTTTGGCCCAGAAAGAAAATTAGTAAGGTGGAACGGTGGACGGGTCCTGAGGGACAAAAAAGAGATTCTCTCACGTCCTGCGTTCAGCATCAAGACATCCAGCCTGGACGACTTGGCGAGTACAGTCTTGACGGCTTTCTTGATAGACTCGAAGGAGGCTAAGTCAAGCTGCACAAACGTGACAGCTGCACCCGGCACCTGGCGCACGACATCATCAGCCGCCTCCTGGCCCTTCTCGGCATTGCGGGCGGTCATCCAGATCATGGCTGGTTTGTGCCTGGCCAGCTCCAGCGCGGCCTGCTTTCCGAGACCGCAGTTGGTGCCGGTGATGAGGATGACCTTGCCTTCCAGAGAAGGAATGTCCGTGGCAGGGTTGAAGGTTATACCTGGGGTGGCCATCTTGTTAGGATTATAAGAAGGGAAAATATGATCTGAGAGAGGACTGATAATGTATTGATTTGCTGTGAAGATCCAGAAGTTGATGATGACACTAACCTTGGAAAGGAGAGGGAATTTCACATCCTATTTATATTTGAACCATGTCCTCAGCACTGCTATAATTCCCGACATCAAGGGACTTACATCCTGAACCTGGACTGAAGATATCCTTTCTTGACGATCCCACGATGTGAGGTGCTGGAAGTGGGCCACGAGTTACCCGACAGGGCTTGACAGCCAATAGTTTCCGAGTGAGCCAATGAGGACTCGCGCTTGTCCCTATGGCGATGGCGGAGGACGCGGAGGAGGAGGAGGAGGAGGAGGAGGAGGAGGAGGAGGAAGGTCGATCAGGTGTGATGAGCTCAAGCCTCTGAGAACTCTATTCTCTCTTTAGCTTTGTGGGTGTTCTTTTGATCCATAAAACTTGCTCAGGTTGAAGGGATTCTCAAGTAGGTGTGGTATGCTGCGTAATCCAGGGGAGGCGCGAGTTGGCTCAACTAGGCACTCCAAGAACAGGTGTGGCCTGCGCTTAAGGCAGCTCGGGAATTACCTCCACGTGAATGATGTGCCTGGAATATCGAGTTTATGTCTTCTCTCCTAAAAGCTTGGATAGCCTACATGGAGATAAGCACGGAGCAGCAGCGGAATGATGTTGTTGCTGTTGCTCTAATTTGTCACCCTCTTGGATTTACCCCTTGTTTCTTTTCTCCCACCAGAGGACAAAGCAGGCAGATGGTCTAGGCGAGGAATTGTGCAAGTTGGAAATACCTCTCACTTTTTCACAGACAAGTTAGTGGTGGCCTGGACTGGGACATAAAGAGTTATGTGCTGTTTTGGCCGCAGGCATGTTCAGCAGCCTATACTATCACGGGGACGCTGTGAAGGCCAAGGATCTGGAACAAATTATTCGCGAGGCACAAGGTCTAGGTGCTGCGAGCTTGTAAGTACCATGAAGTGTACTCTCAGTCTATAGGGATATAGAAGTGTTGAGCAAGGAAATGGCACAGTGTTAGGTGTGTGTTGGCTTGAAGCCCCTTGAGCATTGAATTTCTAGTTTGAGGACCTGGTGAGGGGATAATGATCTTATATACAGAAAGAGTGCGTGCCAGCGCGGGCCCATTCCCTTGTCAACCGGTTCGTTTCTCAACAAGAAGCTTATTCCATCCCTTGAACAGATCCTGCTGAAGAGCAGCCGTATGCAGCATGCATTCATTGTTCTTTCAAGAGTATACCATAGTGTATAGCGGGTGTGGATAGCAGCCTGCACCAGGTGCGGGGCCTAGGCTGCACACTAGACTGTATTTATATTAGTGCTCAGCCGCTGCTGTGAGCACTGTGATTCAGGTAGGTACCAACTGATTCATCACTTTTTGTCCTGGACACCACCCAGAATCAAGTCATGTCGTGCAGATATTTGAAAAAAAAATCGGGTACAGTTGACGAACACATCATAGCTGCCAGACTCGACGTACCTGTGAAGGTCCTCTCGACTGTTTCCCAAGAGTTCCCCTGCTAAAGTCGCTAAGTAGCGAAGCAAGGAGAAAATGGGGGAATCATCACAAGGAACTGATGACGCTGAGGCGCTCACACAAACACTCATCGTGAGTTAACGCGCCGAGCCATTTCCCCGCGAAGAAGCAGCCTGCAAACAACCTGGACACCGTTGCCCTGCCAATATCCTCCCCATCATGAGCCTATCTACCTCCTCCTCCCTCATGTTATAGAAGCAGATCGCCTCCCTATCCCCTCTGTCATTTGGCCTCGGGAAACCCAGCAAGGCTGACACATAAGCCAGGATGAATTTCGGTCCTCACTTGATGACACATTGATCATAGCCATTATCGGCGACTATGACTTGACAACCCATTTTGACGAAGCCCGAGGCATCCTCGAGGACTTGGCCCAGAACGCAACCGCAGAGGAGGGTCTGGGCTTCAACGCCAGCGGAATCGGCAGTGATGACCAGGAGTTGGGTCGCTGCGCCGATGACCTGGCCGGCCTGGAGTGGCCCAGCGATACCACCACCAACTCGGCCTCAGTTTCTGGCTCGAATAGGTCCCCAGCGGACATAGACATCTCGCTCCAGACAGAATGCAGCGACGCCCTATCCGAGAGTTTCGCTGCTCTCGAGCTCCCCCAGGACGTAAATGTGTCTGCCCTGGACGAGGACGGCAAGGTGGCCGAGCTGAAGACAATGTTTGCAGATCTGAGCGATATGGATCTCAGGATGACTTTGAAGAAGTTCAAGGGTGACTTTACTAAGGCCTGCGAGGAGCTGTTGAATATCCAGTACCTGGAGGAGCAAGGCCTTCGGCCAAAAGGCATCGAGGGCGCCTTTCGTCTAGATGGCCTTGTAGGCTATAAAGGTAAGTCTCTGTGGTCCATATCCTGCTGACAACTTACACTGTCGACTCAGGTCGTATTCTGTGTCCTGTGTAATTGCTCTTTCCCCTGGCCAGCACATTGGTTCATCTTTACCTCCCACGAAGCGACAGTGTCCTTTATAGGTTTTGGCCGCACTAGCTGACCAGTCATACAGGTCGCTCCGATGCGCCAAAGGACAAAGGCAAGAACCGTCTGAATGTCAACTACAGCCTCACACCCCCCAACCTGTCTGAGGAAGATGTGACGATTGGAACGTCGACTACGTCTGCCTACAAGTCACAACGACTCCGCGGGTCGTCCCTCCCACGTGTATCCACTATTCCGAATGCTGCGACAAAGGTCACTTACTCTGCGCCCGACTCCCCCGCCTTGTCGCCCACTGACTGGCAGACCGTACAATCCAAACGAAAGACATATAGCGAACGAGCGGCAGAAGCTTCCGCCGCGCATGACACCGCCACACAGTCTTTCCAGGCTGCTCAGCAGGCCTATCGCCGCGGTGCCTCAAACAAGCACTTTCGTCCTGTCGCCGGCGTCCTGGCGGAGCGTGCTAGGGAGCATATCCGGGTTGCCAGGGCCGCTGACTCACAGAAATACCTTGCACTGGTCGATGAAAACTCCTCTGCCCAGCACATCGACCTGCACGGCGTGCCCGTCGCGGATGGCGTGCGCATCGCGCTGGAGAGGACACAGTTGTGGTGGAGCAGCCTGGGCGAGAACCGGGTGAAAGCAGCCCGAGAGGAGGGCTTTACCGTTGTGACGGGCTTGGGCAAACACAGCGCTGGCGGCGTCTCGAGGTTGCGGCAAGAAGTCGGTGCTGCGCTTAAGCGAGAAGGCTGGCGTGTCAGGCTTGAGACCGGCCAGTTTGTGGTGACTGGAAAGACGTGAGAAGTGTGATTGAAACGAATGATCTGAGTGTCCAAGGATAGCCATGGTGGACATTCAGTACGACGGAGCGGCCATCTTCTACGGCCGGTTGATGGTCAGTCAGCTACGACTTACCAGCCCGAATGATCTACGACGAGCAAGGTATTGAGCAATGTCTCATTACAGGAGCTCTCACTTCTAGGCGTTCTAATCGAACGCTGCGGAGGGCCAGGTGAATGGAAAGAGACGACCCACAGCTGGTGATATCCGGAATTGGATGGTGTCAACTCACGGTCGCAAATGACGATTTGCGCTTGGTATAGACGGATCTGGACACGAGTTTTGTCTTGACGGACAGTGAACATCTTGGGAGTTTGTACTGCATATATTCCAAGAGGAATAATGGGTTGATCAAGCGTGGAGTCATGGAGTTATGTAGCATTGGAAAGGCCACACTGGACTTCATATGTATGTCAGACTTGCTTTCAGGCATAGACCTGTGGTGAGATTGATCCGCTGCAGTATGAGTTCCACTAATAAATCAACATGTGAACGCTACTACATTTCCTGCGGATACCAAGACCACAGATATTCAAGTCACTTTATACAAAGTTATGTCCCAACAGGTGATTTGCTTGTATGAGCTGAGTACCCCCCCCCCCCCCCCCCGGCTCCTCGCAAACTGACGAAGTTAACTTGACAGTGGTACAAATCCTCTGGTCAGAGCCTCACAGGACTACTTTGTCTAATAAAACTGAAGTAAACCGCAAGGAAGCAAAAGTAGCGCTCACCTCAATGTTACCTGCTGCTAATTTGCATACAATAATGACTGTCCTTTGTACATTGATGGGAATTAATTCAACATAATTTTTCTGGAATACGGGAATCCATGCAGTAATACACGAGGACCTACAGACCAGGCCTCATGTAGACAAGGGCAGAACAAGGGGCAGCGGTCCGCGAAATGTGAGGCGAGACTCGAGCTAAGGAAAGACTTTGATGGGCACCAGACTTGGGTGCGTAGGAAGGTCTCTGATTAGCCCCTCAGTCATGCATGAATGACGCAAGGTAGTCCGTCAACCGTTCCTGCGTGTCACCAGGCACAAGGGAAGCAAGCTCTCATTGCATGCGCTCTCTCATCTGCTGTGGCCGGATGATCACGCTCACGGGTCACCTCTCAACATTCGCGAAACGATTCTTTGTTTTCATCCATCTGATTCCCCCTTGTCTCCGAGCGTTCCCTCTCTCAACCCTCGACGGCGACGGCCATTTATCACCTGCCTGCCCTGGTTCGCGCCGCCTGCGACATCCCGACATTGCGCTCTGCTACCATCGCCTAGTCTCCGGCATCCATCGAACTACATCATAATCAGCGCCGCAGGGCGGCATCGCACTTTGGTCGAAATGACCAGACTATATGCTCTAGCAGCAGTCGGGACCGTCTTGTTTGCTGGCGTCTCCCGTGCAGCAGAGGAGCTGTACACACCAATACACGAGGCAGGTCGCTGCGCGATTCGCGATCACTGTGGTTCCAAGAGCTTCTTCGGCAAGCAGCTGCCATGTGTCGACAATGGGAAGGCTGAGGAGCCAGACCAGGCGCTGAGGAAACAGCTCGTGGATTTGTGCGGCTCCAAATGGAATGATGGGCCGGTGTGCTGTACAAAAGATCAGGTACGACTGTCTCGTGCTTGAAACCCCCGCTTCGGCATCGTCGGCAGGACGAAAGAGGCTCGGCGGTTGGCTAACATACATCGTCATCATTCACAGGTCGATTCCCTCAAGGACGAGCTCTCAACTGCGAATACCATAATATCATCATGTCCCGCGTGCAAGGAGAACTTCTACAACCTGTTCTGCACCTTCACGTGCTCGCCCGACCAGTCGCTCTTCATCAACGTTACCAAAACGCTGACCAAGAACAATAAGGTCCTCACCACGGAATTAGACCAGTTGATCTCGGAGGGCTATGGTACTGGCTTCTATGACAGCTGCAAGAATGTCAAATTTGGCCCGAGCAATAGTGAGGCCATGAAACTCATCGGCGGTGGCGCAAAGAACTACACACAGTTCCTCAAGTACTTGGGCGATGAGAAGCTTGTCGGATCGCCCTTCCAGATCAACTTTCCAACAAAATACGAGGATGGTAACATGGGCTCTCTACCAATGACTCCGAAGAAGTGCAACGACGATGACCCGAATTACCGGTGCGCGTGCGTCGACTGCCCAGATGTGTGCCCCGAACTTCCTGAGGTCAAGGAGAGGGGGTCTTGCAAGGTCGGCGTGCTTCCATGCTTATCGTTCGCCTCGATTTTCGTCTATAGTGTCTTGTTCTTGACCCTCATCGTCTCGATTGTCGGGCACGTTTGGTACAGGAAGCGCGCTGCGCGTATCCAGGAAGAGAGAACCCTCCTCCAAGGTGGCATCGATGCGAGCGACGACGAGGATGACGAGGGCCAGCTGGCCACCAACGGGGCCATGTTGGACCGGCCGACTCGTGCTTACCGTCTCAACACATGGTGTGATAAAGCGTTCTTCAAACTCGGTCACTTGGCAGCGCGGTTCCCTGCCATCACAATATGCAGCACTCTTACCCTCGTCATCGTGCTCAGCGCCGGTTGGGTGCGTTTTGAAATCGAGAAGGACCCTGCCCGGCTCTGGGTCTCCCCAAGCTCTGCAGCAGCTCAGGAAAAGGAGTTTTTCGATTCTCACTTCGGCCCATTCTACCGCGCGGAAAAGATCTTCCTCGTCAACGATACGTTGCCTTCCGGCCCGGGTCCAGTCCTGAGCTATGACACCCTACAATGGTGGATGGACATTGAGAAGAGCATTACACAGTTGGAGAGCCCTACATATAGAATGAGGCTGGACGACGTTTGCCTGAAGCCTACCGGCTCGGCGTGTGTTGTTCAGTCGGTAGCGGCGTATTTCGAAAACGAGCCGGCCCTTGTCGGCAAGAAGGACTGGCAAGACAAGCTGCGAGCCTGTGCCCAAGCACCCGCTGAGTGCCGCCCAGCCTACGGTCAGCCTCTCGATCCAGAAATGATCCTTGGCGGCTATTCTGGTATTAGCGACATTGCCGATGCAACAGCCATGACCGTCACTTGGGTTGTCAATAACTTTCCCGAGGGCTCGCCAGAGGTCGCACGAGCCATGGACTGGGAGCAGGTCCTAAAAAACCGCCTCCTCGACGTACAGAAGGAGGCCAAGGAGAGAGGCCTGAGATTGTCGTTCTCGACCGAGATCAGCCTGGAAGAGGAGCTCAACAAGTCGACCAACACCGACGCCAAGATCATCGTCATCAGCTACGTGATCATGTTCTTGTACGCTTCTATCGCACTTGGCTCCACCACACTTTCTCTTCGGGATATGATCCGCAATCCAGCCGTCTCGATCGTTGAGTCCAAGTTCTCGCTTGGTGTTGCTGGCATCGTCATCGTCCTCATGTCCATCAGCGCCTCTATCGGTCTCTTCTCTTGGGCAAATTTAAGGGCTACGCTCATCATCGTCGACGTCATTCCGTTCATTGTACTCGCTGTTGGTGTGGACAACATTTTCCTCATCGTGCACGAGTTCGAGCGGGTCAACATCCGGAATCCCGATGATGACGTCGAATTACGAGTCGCGAAGGCCCTCGGTCGCATGGGCCCGTCCATCCTGCTGTCTGCGATCACCGAGACAGTGTCATTCGCGCTGGGAGCCTTTGTCGGCATGCCTGCGGTCCGAAATTTTGCCATTTACGCAGCTGGTGCCGTGTTCATCAACGCTGTCCTCCAGGTCACGCTTTTCATCTCTCTCCTGTCATTCAACCAGAAGCGAGTCGAGGACTCAAGGATGGACTGCGTGCCCTGCATCCAGATCAAGGCAGCCCGAGTCCATCTCAACGGTAGCAACGGAACTCTGGGTGCTCGGCTGTACGAGGTTCCTGAGGAGGGCTTTCTCCAGCGATTTATCATCAAACATTATGCACCAACCCTTCTTGGCAAGAAGGTCAAGGTCGCCGTTGTTGCCGTCTTCCTCGGCCTCTTCGCTGCAGGCGTGGCACTGATCCCCGAGGTGAAGTTGGGACTGGACCAGCGAGTTGCTATCCCGGACGACTCGTACCTCATTCCGTACTTTAACGACCTCTATGACTACTTCGACTCTGGCCCACCAGTCTACTTCGTCACAAAGGATGTGAACGCCACCCAGAGGGAGAACCAGCAGAAGATCTGCGCCAGGTTCACCACCTGCGAATCCTTGTCATTGACGAATATCCTCGAGCAGGAGCGCAAGCGGACCGAGGTGTCCTATATTTCGTCACCGGCCGCCAGCTGGATCGATGACTTCTTCCTCTGGCTGAACCCTCAATTCGAGGAATGCTGTGTCGAGAAGGGTTCTGCCTGCTTTGAAGGCAGGGACCCAGCTTGGAACATCACCATGTCGGGCATGCCAGAAGGAGACGAGTTTGTGCATTATCTTCAGAAGTTTCTGTCGTCTCCGACGACCGATGACTGCCCACTGGGTGGTCAGGCGTCGTACGGGTCGGCTGTTGTGATCGATGAGGTGAAAAAGAACATCCCCGCGAGTCACTTCCGCACGATGCACTCTCCTCTGCGCAGCCAGGATGATTTCATCAACGCCTATACCTCTGCCCGCCGCATCGCGGCCGACGTCAGCTCCAAGACGGGTACCGAGATCTTCCCGTACAGCATCTTCTACATCTTCTTTGATCAGTACGTATCGATTGTCGGCCTGACGGCAGGTCTTCTTTGCGCGGCCATTGCCATCATTTTTCTCATCTCGTCCCTCCTGCTCGGGTCCGTCCTCACTGGTGCTGCGGTTGCCATTACTGTGGTCATGGCGATTGTGGACATCATCGGAGCCATGGCTGTCTTTGACGTCAGTCTCAATGCCGTCTCGCTGGTCAATTTGATCATCTGCGTGGGCATCGCGGTGGAGTTCTGCGCGCACATTGCCCGGGCCTTCATGTTTCCGTCTCGCACGTTCATGGAGCGCGCCAAGAACCGCTTCCGAGGGCGCGACGCCCGGGCGTGGACGGCACTCGTCAATGTGGGCGGCTCCGTGTTCTCCGGCATCACAGTGACCAAGCTGCTGGGGGTCTTTGTCCTGGCCTTCACCCGCAGCAAGATCTTTGAGATCTACTACTTCCGCATCTGGGTTGCGCTTGTGGTCTTCGCGGCGACGCATGCGCTGATCTTCCTGCCGGTGGTTCTCAGCTTTATGGGAGGAGAGGGCTACGTGGACCCGGAATCGGAAGGGGATCTGGAGGAAGATCTGGCCAGCCGCCGGTACAGGGCTCTCCGCGAGCAGGTTGATGATTATTCCGACGAAGATTAGGAAAATTTTTGGCGAGGAAGAGGAGGATAACAATGATGGTGACCGTCGACAAGGCGGATCAACGGCGACGAAAGCCATACGGGATGGTGAGGCCGGTTCTGTCGCGGGCAAGAAAGCCGAGGGGCAAAGATGTCAAAGAGAAAGGATATGCCAGCCAGGCAGAAGGCCATGGGCCGATGTAGACGTGTACCTACATACAAACGCTCTTGCGTCCCTTGCCTCTTGTTGGGACGCTCAAGGGCACTGGATCGAACGTTACTACTGAGGAGATTGAAGACGTGCTTAAGATGCCTGAATCACATGCCAGGGTCGGGGGCACGTTGCACGAAGACACAGCGTCTTGTGTGGGCCATCCTATGCAAAAGCAAGCAGCGGGTTTCACGTCGAGCTGGTGGAATTGGCCACGGCGATGGCACGTTGACCTGGCAAGATAGCGAGATGTGGAGGTTAGGGCATAAATTTGCAGTCCTGCCATACAGAAAGCGTGGATTTTTTTGGAGTAGCAATTCAGACGAAGATTACTTTAATATTATTATATCGTTTGGGTTACTTGATTTTTACGAATGGGGTCTCTTTTTCTTTTTCTCTTTCTTTACCTTTTTCTTTTCTGAACAGCAAACATGTTCTAGCTGAGTGAACTGACAGCTCCCCAAGATGCCATATCAGCTCCAAGTTTTATGTGAGTCTCCAAAACATCCCCTGTGGGAGATGGGCCGACTCGTATTTTACCTCTTTTTCTTTTCTGTTATGGGTAGTAAGTAGTATTGTGGCCTTTTTCGTACAGGATTCCCGAAAACTACCCCTCACTCTTCGTAATTCCGACAAGGGAAGAGGGGTTTCAAAGTTTATATTTGAACAAATTGATCAGATTGTCAGCAGCGACCAGTGACTGCTATAGACAGCATACTGACTTAGGTACTGCCTCTTGGGTGTTGTTTCATTGCATTTTGGTGCAGGGTTTCGGGATGTGGGGGGTGAATTGCAGCTTCACCCCGGGAATCGTCTTGAACGTCACACACCGGGCAGGCGTTTTACTTCTTTAAATAGGGCTCTCTTGATGTCAACAATAGCTGTCAATGTTGTTCATATTTTCTAAATAAAGCAAAAGAACAGGAATTTCGACTTAGAGAGATCACAATTGAAAGTGGAGTGAGTCCAGTCTGACCTTGTCTGAAGGCAAGAAGAGCTCATTACATCAAAGGTCTCATATCCTTTCCTCTTTTGTTTTCGCTGCAAAAGAAGCCAGGGCAACAAAAGTTCAGCACTTCACAACAACAGCATCATCAGAGCTTCATTTCCTCGCTCCCACAACGACAACAATGACTTCTTCTTCTCCTTCCACCACCACGCCTTCCACATCTCCAGAGTTCCCCATCCAGTGGCGCGAGTCGACCCCCCGCGATGAGTTCCTCGCCTCGTGCTGGTCCCACAACCACAACCACCGCCGTGCTACCTCCGCTCGCGTCCCTCGCGCTGTGGTGCACGCCACCTCACCTTCCCACGTCGTCGAGGCCGTCAAGCTCGCGGGTAAACTGGGCTGCCGCGTCAGCGTGCGGTCGGGCGGACACTCCTGGGCCGGGTGGAGCGTGCGGGATGATGCTGTTCTGATCGACCTGGGCGCGCTGCCTGGTGGGAAACATTCTTCCTCTTCGTCTTCCGGGGCGACGACGGCCGGGCTAGACTATGATGACCGCACCAAGATCGTCTCCGCGCCGCCCTCGGCCACAGGCCGCATGGTCAATGGCTTTCTCGAAAAACACGGGCGCATGTTTGCTGGTGGCCACTGCCCGGATGTCGGGCTGGGCGGGTTCTTGCTGCAGGGTGGGATGGGTTGGAACTGTAAGAACTGGGGGTGGGCTTGTGAGAGTATTATTGGGCTGGACGCGGTTACGGCGGAGGGGAAGGAGGTGTACGCTTCCAAGGGGGAGAATGCCGATCTGTTTTGGGCGGCTAGGGGGGCTGGGCCTGGTGAGCTACCCTTTTTCTTGTCTCTGTTCTTCTTCTTCTTCTGCTGCTTGATGAACTTTGGGCTGGATGTGAATGAAGGGTATGGAGAAAGAGAAACAAGGAAAAAAAGCAAGGAAAAGAAGAGGCTAATGACCAAGGAACAAAGGCTTCCCTGCCATCGTCACGAGGTTCTATCTCATGACGAGACCACTGCCAAAGATGAGCCAGAGTATATACTTTTGGCCAAAGTCCGAGTACAAAAAGGTCCTCCAGTGGGTCATCGATGTAAGTCGCGTCTCCTCCCCCCCCCCCCCCCCTTCGTGCTTTTCACTTGAGTAGGCATATCATCTTATCTCATTGTTTCTCACCCCTTTGGAAGATTTGCCCCGACGCGGATCCCGATACAGAGATTGTATGTCTCGGACAATACATCCCCGGGTATGACGAGCCCATAGTCTTTGCCAACTTCCTCTCCTTCAAGCCCACTCAGGCCGAAGCCGAGGCAGCCCTCCGCCCACTCCACGACCACCCTGGCCGCCCGCCCAACGCCCTCAAGGAGAGCTTCTTTGCCCAACCCACCTCCCTCCCAGGACAATACGTCCCGCAGGAGGCTGCCAACCCGCCCGACCACAGATACTGCTCCGAGAACGCCTACATCCGCAACAACGAGGCCGACGTACCCGCCGTTCTCGAGAAAGCCTTCACCACTGTGCCCAACCGCAAGACATTCGCTCTGTACTTTAGCATGAACCCCACGTCACGAAGGGGCCACTATTCCGCGGGCGTCGACGACGTCGGGAGCATGGCCTTTTCAATGCAGAGCGACCACTACTTTGCGCTGTACTCGATCTGGGAGGACGAGAAGGACGACGAGAAGTTTGTTGGGTGGACGCATGACATCATGAAAGACGTTGAGAGGCATGCCGAGGGAAGTTATCTGGGGGATGCGGATTTCCAGCTGCGGCGGACCAAGTTCTGGCGCGACGAGAACGCCGCGAGGCTGATGGAGATTCGGAGGAAGTGGGATCCCGACGCGAGGATCTGTGGGTATCTGGACGAGGGGGATCGGAGTGGCGCGGAGGGTCTGCGGAATGAGTTTGAGTGGAAATGAGAGGGAGGGCATTCATCAGGCAGGGCTGCAAATGGGCAGTTGATGAGAACCTCGTCGCCTTGGGGAGGCATGATCACTCGTTACTTGATGCTCCTGTTCGAACAATATTTTCCGGTCCGTCAAAAGATTTCGAAGCTTCCCATGAGAAGACTTGATCACCTTTTTCTTAATAAAAAGAAAATATTAGAAAAGAGAAGAAAAGAACAGTTGCAAAAAATCTTGCAAATTTTTTTTTTTGGTGCAAACCATGTCAGTCGACGATAGCAAATTGTGTTCTGTAACGCTCATGATATTCTCCTCCTGAAGGACTTTACAGTGACTTCCATTTTATTCAGTTGAAGCTTGATTGATGGGATTGGGAGGCCAACTACTTTCTCTCTCTCTCTCTCTCTAGGAGCATCCTTGTCGCCTTCACAATATCACCTATTGATAAAGTATCTCGATTGCCTCTTTCATCAATAAAGACCAGTTCTCCCAGGATACGAGAATCGGCTACTTGTTAGCAATTAATGATGCCCCAAAGGATCGGGCTAGTTACATTTCTGGAACGACTCATGTAATCATCTCACAAGTAGTTAGCCCTCGCAACAACAAAGACACTTTTGTAATTACGCAGCCTATCTCTCTGGTCACGCCATGAATGACTGTATTCAGTAAAATTTGAAACAGAGTTTCCACTACCACTGATAAAAGAGAATTCTGCAATAGTTGGTGTCGAGTGCCACAATCTGTCTATCTGACACGATTAGCCTTCACAAGCCAACCTGTTAGCGTATCAGTGTCAACCGGGATAAACTCTGGGTAAACTATTCCCCGACGTCGATCAATAGTCCAAGTCTTCTTTTGCTCGCGACGGTGAGCAAAGTAGTACCAAGCTCTCTCGGCCACTCATGGCGTAATCTCACCCCCCCCCCCCCCATTGTTTCCACTGGCTTCCTGAACACAGTTTTGTCTTCCGTGCGACGACGGACCCTGTCTCCTCGGAGTGGCGAGGATCTAGTGGCTCGGCCCAAGGCCACCATGGATATTCACCATTCGGACTTGGTTCACCCCCATGCTGAAGTTGAACAACCGCCTCGCAATCTCCATCGCTCCCAAGTCGTTGAGAGTTACCGCCAGAAGGTATTTTAGGTACAAAGGGAATTTCGGATTAATGTATTATCTCGATTCCTTGGCCACGTCTGGCCATGCTTCTAGGTTCGCAAGGATGACTTGTGCTTTCTCTACCTACAATCCTGATCTGCCAATCTGTTTGCCACTGTTGGGTCTCTCCCTGGACAAATCCTCTCATAGGGTATCTATAATTCCTCTTTCAGACTGTCAGTTCTAGCTGTATGTCTTCTGACTGTGTCTAAAAGGTAGGCTTTTGTCTGGTCCAAGTTAGGCCTCCTCCAATCTACCGGCTCTATTGTCGCCCGTAGTACGTGCCCGCAGCCACTACCCGTAATCCCCACATACCTAAACGGCAGCTGGGCGGTATGGGGCGAACCACCCCCAGGGAAATTCCGCAAGACGGCTTGTCCCTGTTTCCAAGCAGATGACGCCGACCATCTTCATCGTAATAACGTTGTCACGGTGTAGACCCTCCTCTCTGGGCAAGGCTCTTTAATATGCCGACCACTTTTGGTGTGGGCTTATCGTTATAGTGTTGTTGTGTGTGTGTGAGCCTCCACCTGTTGCGGGAAATCGATATTGGACGTCGTAGGTTTCCCCACGGGGGCTGTGCTGGCATCTTCTGTGTATTTTGTTTACTCCGCAGAGGCCTCGTTCATTGCTTGTCTCTGGAGACCGTGTTTTCGTGCCGTTGGTCTAGCCTGCTGGAACTGGGAAGAACTATTTTGGGATCTGTTCATTTTTCTCAAACCTAATCACTGTCCAGATAATCTCGTCAATATGCTTTTGATCTCTCGCCATCTTCATCGACCTACATAATAGCTATTTGTCTTTGCACGAACTGTCTTCTATCTTAATCAACCTCATATCATCATCTTCTTCTTCGTTTTCTTCTCTTTTCTTCTGCTTTCTTTGCTGCCATCGTCCGTACTGAAACTATTCACCAATTTAGCTTCTAAAACAGTGAGCAAAAATGCACGGAATCACAGAAGAAATAATACAAATAGTGTTACAGCACTGGGTAACGGTAGCCATTGTGATATCGTTCTCCTGGCTGCTGAGGAATCGGTTTCGTCGAGGACTGAACAAATATCCTGGTCCTTTCCTTGCCTCCCTGACCGACTGGTGGCGGTTCATCGATGTCTGGGGCCGGAGGCCCGAGGTCACCCACATCAAGCTGCACGAGAAGTATGGAGACGTTGTCCGGCTCGGGCCCAACACGCTCTCGTTTGCAGATCCGGTGGCTCTGAAGGCGATCTACGGTCTGAACAAGGGTTTTGTGAAGGTGAGTAACGATGAATATCTCTTTAAGAGAGAGGAAAGAAATTTTTGTTTTAGGAAAAGATCAACTTGGATTAACTCAATGCGTCTGGCCAATAGTCGGACTTTTATGTCGTCCAACAATCCGTCGTCAAGGGACACTCGCTCCAGAGCCTGTTCAGCACGGTCGACAATGACTTCCACCAGCAGTTCCGCCGCTGCGTGAACTCGGCCTTTGCCATGTCGGCGCTGGTCCAGTACGAGCCCTTCGTGGATAACACGACCAAGCTCTTCCTCGAGAAGACAAAGGAGTTCTTCGTGAACAACCCGCAGGGGTGCGACTTCACCCGCTGGCTGCAGTTCTACGCCTTTGATGTCATCGGCGAGATCACCTACAGCAAGCGTCACGGCTTTGTGGAGAAGAACGAGGACATTGATGGGATCGTGGCCTATCTTAGCAAGCTCTTCAATTACGTCGCTCCTGTAAGCTTCCCTTCTACTTACCACCTGATCACACATATATGCATATGTAATGTTGCTGACAACTTGCCTCCTCCTCTTCCCCTCCCCCACCACCAGGTCGGCCAGATTCCCATCCTAGACAAAATCTTCCTCAAGAACCCCATCTACCTCAAGCTCTCGGACTGGGGCATCGTGGACGCCACATTCCCCGTAGCCAAGTTCGCCAGCGCCCGCATGGCGGAGCGCCTCATACCCGACCTCGAGGGCGGCATCGACAGCAGCGACAAGGCCAAGGCCACGATCCTGCCGACCTCGGCACCCAAAGAGAAGCCACCGACCATGGACCTCCTCTCCAAGTTCCTCGCCGCGCAGGCATCCTCCCGCCAGGGCTTCATGACCGACACCCTCGTGCAGACCATGGCCGTGTCCATGGCCTTTGCCGGCAGCGAGACCACCGCCATCAGCCTGGGCGCCGTCTTCTACTACCTCCTCCGCAGCCCGTCCGCCATGCAGCGCCTGCGCGCCGAGATAGACGACGCCGGCCGCCGCGGCCTGTTCCAGGACCGCCAGACGGGGCTCGTCACCTGGCACGAGAGCCAGCGCCTCGAGTACCTGGATGCCGTCGTCAAGGAGGCCTTTCGGATGCACCCTGCCCCCGGGCTCCCGCTCGAGCGCATCGTCCCGCCCCAGGGCGCCGAGATTGCCGGGCGGTTCATCCCCGGCGGCACGATCGTGGGGTGTTCTGCCTGGGTGATCCACCGGAACAAGGAGATCTTCGGGCAAGACGCTCATGTCTTCCGCCCCGAGAGGTGGCTGGTGGACGAGGCCAAGGACAAGGCGAGCGAGGAGGCGCGGATCAAAGAGATGACGGGCACCATGCTGCAGTTTGGCATGGGGAGTCGGACGTGTATCGGGAAGAATATCAGTCTGATGGAGATTTACAAGCTGGTGCCGAGCCTGCTCAGGAGATTCGAGGTCAGTCCTTTCTTGTTTCTCCCTTTCCTTCTTTTCAAAGGGATTGACCATGCGTCGACACAACATACTGACTCTATTTTTTTATTTTTTTGCACAGATTGACTTTCAGGATTCAAATCGGGATTGGAAGTTGTGCAATTCGTGGTTCGTCAAGCAGACGGACTTTTGGACCAAGTTCTCTCTACGAGAGATACCACAGCCTGCAGCTGAGGCATCGATATGATTTGAGAATAAGGGAGCAGATTGTGAAGAGAGCGTGACGGATTTCTCTAGCAGTAACCTCATGAGGCGTGGATTGTGCTCAGATTGTATTGTCTACTGGTTATGAATGGGACATCGCGTTTATAGAATGTGGTTATGACTCAAATTGTAATGATTATTGAACACCAGACGTTTGATAGGAGAGGAACGATTCTACAAAGTGACATTGTTCACCCGCAAACATGTGAGAAATGAAGACAGCGCCAACAGTGAGGAAACATCGCACGTTACCGCTATCACGTCTTTCTGCTTTACCAAAACGGACATTAAGAAGGTCTATGATTATTATGGGGAAAAAGCCCGCTCCTCGCGGGGTGTTTGAAATATTTACTTTTGAAGAAGCGAAGCCAGTCATAGCCCAATAATCATCTCATGCCTCATGACCACATAGCGAAACATCACTCACCAATGGGTATAATTCTCTTGCGTGAGCAACTCTTATAATGCCCTCGGGAACATCAGGTCGTTGGATAACAGGCGACACCGAAAAAAGAAAGAAAAAAAAAATAAGGGGGGAAAAAGAGGAAAAAGATAAAGAAAAGAAGAAAAAAAGAAGTGCCTGTGTCTCACAGCGACCCGACGCCCCTATCCTCAAGGCTTTCATCCCACCCGCCCGTCTCGAGCAACCACTCGCCGACTCTCTCCTTAACGTGCCCGACCCTCTCCCCCAGGGCGCTCCGCCACTGCTCCTGGACGACACGGACCTTCTCCTTCAGGTCATCCGTCAGCCGCTGGCTCTCTTCCTTCTTGAAGCTTTCTACGTCGTCTTTGCTCCCGCCGCGTTCTTCCTCCATGACCCGGGCGCGTGCCACGAGCACAGCCTCGTTGACCTCGTGGAGGAGGCAAAACAGGTTTGTCTGGGACTCGATAAACTGGTATGTGCTCTTCTCTGCGTGCAGAAGGAGGCTGTAGAAGTACTGCAGCGGGTGATCGATGTAGGAAGGGTTCTCCACGACCTCGGACTGCGGGATCTGGATGCGGAAGTCGGCTAGAGACCGCCTCCTCCCTCTGGCAGTCTGGCTGCTACCGCCACTGCCAGAGCCACCGTCGTCCGAGGACGGGTTGGACCCCACTGGGACGCCATCAAGAAGCCCGCAGAGCGGTGGTGCAATATCCCAGAACGCAGACAGCTGCACCTCGACACCGCGCACGACATTCTCCTCCACTACAGCACAGAACTCGCGTGTCCTCCCAAGGACCTCGTTCGCGAATGCGAGGGCCCGCTTTTCAGCATCCTCGGCGAAGAATGCGGATGCATGTGCCAACTTCTCCTCGTTGCCAGCAAGCCGGTAGGGCGTGATGACCATCTCGCGGTACCGGTCGTTGCGCTCCGAGAGCAGGTCGTACACGGCGCGGTGGAGCACCTCACGCGTCTCGAAGATCCATTTGAGAAGGGTCAGCTTTTCTAGCAGCTCGGGCTGCTCGTCCCCTTCTTCCTGAGGCATATTCGGGTTCGACTCGCGGGTTTCAACAAACAGGCGGGAGCGGAGATCATCAAACAGCTGCGTGGCTTTGCTGATGCGGCTCGTCAGCAGTTCATTTAGGGGCACCACCACTGCGGTCTGGAAACGATCAAAGTCCTTCTTCTCCAGCTCCTTGGAGGCCTGTTTCTCGCTGTCTGTAGAGTCGGCCTCGATGGCGGCTGCTTCGGCGTACGTCATGCGTCCCAGGCTGATTTCCTGCTGCAGGTTCTGGCGAAGGGCCTGGCGACGTTTGTTGGCTGCAGAGGCAGCTTCGTCATGCAGGGCGCGGCTGTCATGGTTGAAGCGGGTCTTGGTCGCGTCCACCTCGGACAAGTCACTCAGCGCGCGTGTGGACGCCCGAATATCGGTGAGCTCTGGGTGGTTGTTGTTGACGGCTGGGTGATGGCGAGGGTACGGGGGCGGCAGTGTTACGAGCCTCGAAACGTCCAGGTAGTTCGGGTTCGGCGTGTTGGGCAGAGACAGAGGCTGTTGCACCCGGCTCAGCGTGGGCTGAGTGCTGTAGGTCTGCTGATAGCTTTGTTCCGCTGGCGACTCATGCCATCCTTGCTTCTCTGGCGGGTACTCGTTTGACGGCTCTCGCCCGGAAGACCCCTCCACTGGGTCGTCCATCCACTGCAGGGCCTCCCGCGCTTCTTTGGGTACGCTCATGTACTTGGATTCCCGTTTGGACCGCTCCCACTTTGTTGACTCCCCGGACGAAATCGACTCCCACCAGCGGCTGGCCGGTCGCCCTCGGGAGTCGTCGTCGTGCCTGTCGCTGACACTCATGCTTAGAATCGGTGACAGAGATGGCTGGAAGATGGCGTTGTAGTTGGCAGTACCAGCAGCCGGACCAGTAGAGGTGGCAGGCGCGGCAGCCTCTGAGGATGGCGTGGGTGCTGAGCTCGGCTCTGCAGAATCTGAGACCTCGCCAGGCTGAATAGACCCCACAGAACCTCGATGCGACCGGTTGGGCTCAGAGGATTGCGGCGTCCACTCGCTTCCCTGTGAGGTTGTTGATTCCCGTCTGCTCGACATGGGGCGGAAGAGATCACGCGTCAGGTCAAAAATCTCAGAGCCCATTGCACTGATGGCGGAGGAGTACCGCTCCCTCCTGATCCTCGACTCACTGACGATGAACTCAGCAAAGAGCCGTACTCTTTCCGAATCATCAGTAGCTGCGGCCTCCTTCTGAGAAAAGATCTGAAACCTCTCGATGGTTTGGTGAGAGAACAGCTCAGGGCTCTGCCGAATGATTGAATCCCGACTCGTCGCAACAGACTTTGAAGAAAGTGGGGTGACAAGCCCGTGGCCCATCTTTGGTGTCGACCTCGAGACAGAGCGGCTACGGGGCGGAGGGGTAGGTAGTGCTTTGGGTGCGATTGACGAGGGTTCCGCGGCGGCCTGAACTTTCGCCAAACGTGGCGAGGCAGGAGGAACAGAGACTTCCATCTTGGGCGTTCTCCTAGCGGAGTCCAAGGCTCTTGGAGTCGATCCGCTGTTTTCCTCATCCTTCTCTTCAGCCGATAGGTCTCCGCTCTGTGGTGTGCCTTGTGGTGTGCCTTGTGCTGATAGGTCGCCACTCCTGGGCGTCCTTCTCCCAAACGTGGTTCTCCTCGACAGTCCGCTAGACGAGGACGGGATGACAATGTCGTCCAGATTTGAGAGGGAAGCATCAATGGACAAGCGGGAGGACCTTGTCCGGCTCTCCGTGCGCCTCTCGCGCAGAGTCTTGTCACCACGGGTGGCATTTGTTCTGTTCAGTCCAGCATTCGGGCTAGTAGTTAACGGAGCCCGCTCTGGGGTGCCAGCGTTTCTATCGGTGCTGGGGGGTGGAACAGCAGGCGAGTCCTGCCGGGGAGACTCGTGCACCTGATTGTGTTGATTGGACTGGTCCTCATCAATCCAGTTCGCAGGAGTAGGCGGTACAGGACCGAGGGCAGTAACACCTGTGGGAGGCGGCCGACGCGTGGGTGGTGAGAGGATAGGATCACTCCCACTCGGGAAGTTCCTACTGGCGCTTTGCGACCGCGATTGCGAAGGCGGAGGACCGGGAGGGGGTGGTGGCAGCGGAATGGCCTGATCCCATCTCGTCTGGGAGGCTGAGCGTGACCTAGCCGAAGTGGGCGTGTCGATGGCACCTGTGGACTGGGCTCGACGGGCGGACGGCGGAGCACTTGGAGACAAAGGATCACCAATCGACCTCTGCGGTGGAGATTGCGGAATCTGAAGGCTTGGTGGGTTCGGACGCGAGGCTGGCGAGCCCCAAGCCGGACGATGATGACTAGAGCCGAGTGCCTGAGGCGATGGGGTAGATTCAGGCTCTCTCCGTCTACCCAAGGACGGGAACCCGAACCTCCTTTCCCTCGACGAGCCTCTGCCGTTGGGCGGCGGCGGGAAGGACTGGGTGTTGGAAGGCTCGGGTGATGGCCGATGTACGGTAGGCAGTGGGGTCCTTGAGAGATGCATATTGGCCGTGGGAGAGGTGTCCAAACCTATGCTGCCCGTTCCCTGCCTCCGAGGAGGAGAATATGGGGGAGGAGGAAGAGGAGAGTCTTGAATATATATACATATCAATATCAGTCGAGACAACTCGGGTCAGTAGTGGGTGCTGCTGACATAATGTGTGAGAGTGGAGAGAGAGAGAGAGAGAGAGAGAGAGAGAGAGAGAGAGAGGACAAAAAAAGAAAGAGAGTCATGTACCATTGGGGTCTGTAGAATTCAACGGCTGCTGCATCTGAGCCTGGGCCCTCTCAGGATTTGGTCCAGGCATAGGCGAGGGGATCCATTGCTGCGGGTTGTAGGGCTGAATAGCACTGGCTGGCGTCGACGCGTTGAATGAATTTGAGCTGTACGACACAGCCGAGACGGGCGTGTTGGCGTGCGAAGAGAAGCCACCCAGCGATGTCAGTAGAGGATTCAGCCTCTGGCGCAGCCGCGAGCCGTCGCGGTTGTCACTCATCGTCACTGATCTGCCAGGCACACACGATCGACCTTGGCCCCTCAATTTGGCAGCGGCATAGAAACAAGCCCAAGAGTTGAGATTGCCGCGCGTGGAACAATAAAGAATGGCCTGAGCCGAGCCCTGGACCGATATGGCCGCGTCTCGTAGCGGCTCGCCGTCGTCCCTGTTAAGACACCAAAATGTCGTGCACTACCCGTCCGGCGTGCTGTGCCGGAGGTCAATGTCCTCTCGAGAGATGCGAAGCACCAGATGAGGAGAGGGGGAGAGGACGCAACCCAACCCGCAGCAGAGACGCTGTGACGGTCGTGACGAAGACGCGAAGGGTAGAGAAACCCAGCCGACGGGGAAGGTCGTAAAAACGAAAGGAAGAAAAAGGTGGTGAGCCTCCGCCCTATGACTGGTGAACCCTGGCTCTGGGAAGGGCCTTGTTGGGTAAGGTGCCAGATGGCCAACGGTAATAACGATTTCCTGGGGTGGCCTTCTGAATGGGTTGCTGTGCTAGGCGGGGGCGTGGGTGGATGGTGTCTTCCGGCTGTAACCTTGTCGTGGAAGATACAGCAGTGTGTGTGTGTGTGTGTGAGAGAGAGAGAGAGAGAGAGTGTGTGTGTGTGTGTGAACTAATGCAATGCATGCAAAAAGAGACCCTCGTATACTCCTACTCCCGATCCCACACAGGCGAGAGAGGAGGGAGGGGGAGGGGCAACGCGATGATAGGCTCGTGGTATCTGCCACTTTAATGATCTCAAGACATGGGCAAGGTATTTTCTTCCTTTCTTCCATTGTCGCTGATCAACGTCTTGAGCCCGGTCGCCATCCAATGCAACACAACCCTCTTACGGTATACTCCCATGGGTGCGACAGAGTGCAGGAAAACCGGTATAGGTCTTGCTCGAGTCGTTGACCTTGTCGTAGTAGCAGCTGGCTCCATCGCTCGAGCCCTTTCGACACAACTCTGCGATAGGATAGTATGCAGCCTGGGACTAGGGAAGTCACCCCCGCCTCGGAGGGAGGGTGGTTGGACTTGTTAGGGTGCCGTGCATATGGGTCGACCTATTCTTAGATGCTGTCGAATAGGGTGTGTGGTCATTCGCTGCCGTAGTGGGGAGGATTGTTGGGCGCTTAAAGGACGACATGTCGTTCGCCAGATGCGATGCTCAGCTTTGTTCGGCGGTGGTACCATAGTACTGGACCATGCACGGATTGAGCAACTTATCACCCAAGTCTAGCCTACCTCAGACTAGCGGCACACCTCGGGAAGCTATCACACCCATGTGGCAGTTTTCAAGTACTTTCTATCATCCCGTCCACTACAGATTCTGTTTGCAATGTTACAGTAGTACAAAGGCCCATCACACTACGGACAGGGAAGCCCAGATCCCTGTTCTTTTTCTGCAAGGGGACCCCATTCCGCCCTATCCCACCGCCATCTGTCTTTTTAAGCGTACCATACTTTTTGTCTCGCCGTCACCACCTGCCCTGAACGTATTGCAAACCATGGCAAAGATCGAAGCATCCCTCATGCAGACAATTGACTGCCAGAGCTTACGGCTTATAACTAATGCTAAGCTGTGGAATGCGACACCACAATGCCGCCAGGCTGCAAGAGCGGCACGTACCGTCTGACTTACCCCGCCCACGATACGGCAGGAATAAAAGAGCATCATGCAAGGCGACTCTGACCGGAAAGCTACACTGCCGAAGAAAAATGTGGGATTGGCCCCATCTGGTATTCATTCATGGGAGACTTTACCTTTTGCTTCTTCAATACTAGGACTTTTTCTTTCCCATGTACAAGCTTTGAGATAATGTTGCATCCAAAAGGAAAAGAAAAAACCGTCATAGCCAGGGTAACCGGTATATAGAACTTAAGCGAGCGCGATCCTCAGTGCCAAAATAGCCACGGCACCTTCTGTCTCCGCTGCAGGATCCCATTCGGCACCAAACATCCTCGTCCAGGCTGAGGACCCTAGTTGAGCAAGATATCTGTACGTTGATATTTTCGTCTTCAAGCAACATCTTGGCGTCTCTCTGCATCTGGGTCATGATGATGCCGTAGTCGAACACAACAGTTTTATTCTTAGGCGCATAACTAACATCATAGTAGAGGCTCCATTGTGAGGTAATTAGATGCAGACCACCACCGATCAAACATTGCTCCAGGATTCAGAAGGTGACTTGGCCTCCACGCCATCAGTCAATCATGGAACATCTCGGCTGCGTTCTACTAGAGTACGCAGTCAAACTTTAATACAACTTTAAAATGCTTTCGTGGCCCACAGCAACGCACTGGCTTCTAAAATAGGAGCACATTGTGGGGCCTTTGTTGAGGTCCCTGGCTCTTGTCTATCGACAACTGTAAATCTATCATAGAAGCATAATGCATAGTTTCATATACGACACATGACAACTAGATCTGCTCGAATGCCTCCCCTTCGACATAAACTCAACCTGCCTGAAGAGAATAAGTTGCCACAGTGTAGTCCTAGCATGTAGATGCCGAGCATCTGATAACGAGAAACCGACGTGATAGACTGCATCAGTCATATATATTTGGACAGTGCAAGTCGATAACATTTGATACTGACGCTGTTGGTCCCCAAGTTCTAGAGCATTGCTTTACCAAGTCGATCGAGTCTTTAGTCTCCGCTATGAAAGGTGAAGGGAGGAGGGGCAATCTAGGCTCCGGCGTCGCAAGACAAGAGTAGAAACCATCCAGCTCAGATTTGTCTTTAAAACGCCTGCGCAGTGTTGTATGAACTCCCAATACACACAGACCTGAAAGCAGGACGAAATCTTGGGTCAGTCAGTTCTTAGGCCGATCGAGGCGAGGTTGTTACCGACCCTGCATTGAATAAACATGAGATATCCATGGACGGGGTGATACCACGTGGTTATCCCGTTACATGGGACGAGCGTATGCATATGGCTGGATCAAGAGGCATAATTATAGATACTGATGCTACCGTAAAGACTTCTAGCTTACATACTTATATTTCACCGACTTACTAAGCAAAAAAACTTCATTCGTTGGTCTGATCCAAGCTGTGGTAATTAGCTATTAAAAAATAAAAAAAAAGTCACATGCGCTATTTCAATGAGATTTCTATTAATGGAATTTTACCCAGATACTGATCGAGTCTTTTTAATTACATTGATCAAATGCTGGCCAGAAAGCCTACACGGCTTTTGTCCGGAAATTGAAACATCAGACAGATTCAGCGTCCTTACTGTCGTCGAAGGGGCTAACTCGTGGATCTAGACATAACATGGGAACGACTGAATCGATGCGCTGCTAGAGGAAAAGAAGGAAAGGAAAACCGGAGGGGAAAACAGCTAGCTAGATGAGGCTCTCCAGGTAGAGGGTGCCTGGCGATAGTGGGTGCCAGTGACTCACCAGCCCTCGCACACATGATCATAAAAAGTAAAGGCCGGTGGTGTGAGCACCATGGGTACATCTTCATCCATGCAGGAAAAGGATTCTCACCCGTGGCACAGTACACCCGATGTATCTGTATTGCCACATCATGACTATTGATTACTTTCCCCACTCATATGATCAGCCGAGCCTCCAAGGCGGCTACTGTGTTTGTTTTCGCACGCATTCCCCATATGCAAGAGAGGCAATGATGCGACGGTAGACCGGAGGAAAGAGACCGGGAACAATGATCCTCTTCTGGATAGTTAGGACAAAAATGAGAAAGGACTGTGTCATGGTGCGATCAGCACGTGGAGTGATGAGCAGCTCTGGCGATTACTGTGCAAATAAATATATTGAAGATTTGGGAGGCCAATATGGAAGAATATTTGTGATGATTGGCTCTCTTATATTATTTGGATAATTGCATTGCTTTCGTCGAAACGGGAAGCAGAGGTACTTGGGAAGGAGAATGTATCATATGGCGAAATACCCTATCTTTGCTCCTACATAATAGAAGCAATCAAGCGCTGCATTATTGGCGCTCACTGTTGAAGGATTCAAGTGCGAGAACGACGTATCTAATTCCTCACAGCCCAAGTCTACAGGTGCCCAGGTGAGCTCTTATACCTAAGCGATGACGGACGTAAGACCTGTATTCAGGTTGAATGTTGGAAGCAGATTTATATTAAAAGAACTTCACCCAGTGCAGAGAAGCTAGAAAGAGGTCACTCGACATGTAATCAGCGCTGTGGTCAGGCTACATCACGACCGCAACACCTCATCACTTCTGTAAGCAAGACTTGTGCTGTTGAGGATCAACAAATCGATAGCTTCTGAACGTCACCCAACTTTTGTTCAAGGGACGCTGCAGGATATCGATATCATGGTATCTTCCTTTCTAAATGTCCAACCTAGCTATTTCCAAATTTTATGTATTCATATAATGATAAACGCCGACGGAGTTTTCTTGCTGATAGAGACAACGAGACCCTCGTCAAGCCATTCGTTATCAATAAGACCACTAACATAGGCCGTGCCTACCATTTTGTAACACGTGGCCTCTCCGCCCTGCTCACCGGCTCTCTGTGTTACCGGACGCAGGAGAATCGCTACGTTCTCCTTGTGCAGGATGGCCACGACATCACCCTTCTCGATCTGCGCGACTCCGAGACCCAAGAGACCACTATCCGTGATAAAGGTCGTCCTGCCCGCCAGGCCTGCAAACTCCCGCTCAAGGCGCAGCGGGGTCCACGGCAGGGTGCAGTGCGGCCGCCCCCCGGCCGCGAACTGGCTGTGGATGCTCTCCACCGTCTGCACTATGTTCGAGTTGACCTGGTCGCGCCCGACAGCCTCCCCGAGCCACTGGCCCATGCGGCTTGACGCCGCAGCCGCCCATCGCTCGGCTAGAGTCGACTCCGCGCCCAGCTGTCCCGCGGCAGAGGCGGCGGCGTACGTCGATCCCGAGAGCAGGGCCTGCAGCTCGGCGAATATTCCCTGCTGCGTCGTGGGGAGCGTGCTGGTCTGCGTGACCGTGCCAGCCGCGAACCCGTTGGTCCGCAGCGTGATGAGGTCGTCCACGACAGGCTGTGGTGCGCCTTCAAAGGCGTTGTGACAGAGGCGTCTGACCACCCGCTCATCTGTTATGTAGCGGTCGGGATTGTGCAAGTCGCTCCCTCGTGAGAAGTCCGGAATCCAGCTGGGGAATTCCTCATTATTGTCACTCAGGTGGTTCGGCCGCAGGCCAAAGCTGAAGTAGAGATTGATGTTGTGCTCGACGTTGATCACGTACGAGGTGAGCTCAAGGACAACCTGGCGGAGTGGTTTGTCGTAGTCGACTGGGGAGACGGACTGTGCGGCTGGCATGATCCCGTACAGAGCATAGAAGCGGTCGTGGGCCATGGTGTAGTTGCGCTCGCTCGTCATGCCCAGGTAGTACGCCAGACTCCGCGACTCGGACCGAAATGCCTTGCGGATCGCAAAGATACTACCTCCGCTCTCTGCTGTTGATTTGTGCATCAGGCTCGTCGTCTGCTTTGCCACGGCTTCAGCAAAGTCCAGGAGTGCCTCGTCCTTGTCTGCCCCCTCCGCGCCTAGCTTGGTGTGGACGCGCTCTTTGATGTCGGCCACTGCATCCACCAGACGGCTCTGCACCTCCTTGACAGAGGCCATGGTGAACTCATTGTTGAAGTTGATGATGGTAAAGACGATGGATTGAAAGATGAGGAGAAGAGGAAACTAAAAGACTAGTAGGCCTGGCAGCCGAAATAACAAACAAACGCGCACGGACCAATGTGCATACTAATGGAAATGCACCTTCTTCATACCCCCCATTTTCAGTAGTAAAATGTAGCTAAAACAATACCTTCAGAATCATCCTCAACTCCATCCTATTCTGAACCATATGCAAAACTCCTGAGTCAATTCTCGCAGAATTGCACTCCAAAATCAACTGATAAGCCCCAGCATCTCAACCAACCTCATCAGCACCAGCCTTGGAAGAGATTTAGTGCAAATATCCGCCAAATTGTTCTCTGATCTGGTATATATAACGTTATAATCTATGCTAATTCTTTTCTGCATGAAATAGTAGTGAATATTGATGTATTTCGTTTGCAAGATGATTTTCTAATCAGTAATAAGGAATAATGCAGATTTATTATTACAATACAGAATAGGAAGCTCTGCAATCCTGAATTTCAGGTCTTTGAGTGCCTAGATGGTTCACTGGAGATGAGATGCAGCGCTGGAACATGCCATATATTCGGCCTTACAGGTGGATTTCGCCACTGTAGATTGTTGTTTTGAGCTTCAAGTAATAATAGCATCATCAATCTTCATGATGTATCCTGCGAATGACTTCGAATTGTTCGGATTCATATTATATGAAGCATTTGAATAGATATAAGCAGTGGGGGAACTATCAGTTGTCTTTCTGAAGATGATCCTATAGTCAAGCATGCTTTGAAGATACCTGAGCACCTATTTAGCACAGTAAGCATATTGTTCTATAGGATTTGCATTGAAAGTTGCAAGCATCCTGCATAGAAACACTAAATCTATGCATATACCAGTTATGAGAAAGTTAAGAGATCCAGTAATGCTCTAATAGATTTTGATATTAGTAAATACATCATCATTCTCAATGCATCGAGGAAAACAATCCGGATTAACTAGAGTCTAACGAGATTTGCAGTTAGCTATGCCAAAACGCCTGAGAATACGCTCAGCATAACCATGCTAAGAGATTGTAATCCTATTACTATTCTGATGAATCTTGAGGCTAAGAAGATAGCAACAGAGGCTCAAATCCTTGCATTTGAAATAGTCCTTCAGAAGAGTTTTGCAGTTATTCACAGCAATAGGGATACCCGCTATAAGAATATTATCCATGTAAACAGCAATAATAAAATTCTTGCTAATGAATATGCATGGATCAAAGTATGTAGAGGTGCTAAACTTGAGAAGGACGTCTTGCAGGATTCCAAACTATTTGCAGCCCAACTGCTTCAGGCTGTAAAGAGCTTTCTTGAGCTTAAGAACTGTATAAGAGAATGCATTGTATCCTGAGGGTGGCTGCATGTAAACATTGTAAGTAAGATTGCTCTGAAGATATGCAGTCTCAATATTCATCTAGTGAACTGTTCATTTCTGCAAAGCAGCTAGCTTGATGATCAACTATAGACTGTTATACTGTGCAACAGAGCTATATGTATCATTATAGTCAATACTGTATATTTGCATGAAGCTATGCGCAATCAGATACGCCTTGTATTGCAGCAAAACTCTCTCAGCATCATATTTCTTTGCAAATATCCAATGAGAGTTAACTATATGGATATTCCGTTATTGTAATGAGCACTGCAGCAATCCGAAGATTCCTAAGTATACAAAGGGGTTTATGCTAACAAGGGCAGTATTAAAATGTTAAGTTCTTGAATACGGAACCGTATAAGTTCTAATAAGCAATGCAAGTGTTCACTGCCTTTGGGGCTACTCAGTATATGAAACTGAATACTTAGATTGACAACTGAAGAGCTATGTATGAGATCTATTTAATGGGAATGAACGTATCCTTATATATCCAGCTCTTCATCGTGGATATATTGGATAGCAACATATCCAAGTTATCCTGCTAGCTCTAGATAGTATATATCCGAAGCTATCCTTTCTGATTGGCTGTATTCATAATTCTAACTCTGGATTATGTAATCAATGCTTTATTAGAATGTTGAGTTCTTAATATCTGGTCTCTGTTACTCGTGATCTGTTCTGTAACCTGCATGTTGGATAGGTTATAACATTATCTCTCTTCTATCAGTTGTTGTTTCCAACGATCTTTTGTAAGTATTCTGGCAAGTCTTCCGTGTATATGATCTTGTCTTCCTAATTGAGATATTGAACAGAATTACCAAATCTCGTTCTTATGCTGAGAAGACTAAATAAAAGGATTCTCTTCTTTCCTTAGTTCTTCAAAATGCTATCACTATGCCTTCTTGTTCCTTCTGCAAGGGTTGTAGTATTCAATCTTGTTAAGTTTCCGTTGAGGATTCCTCTTGCTGCGCTGAATGTATTCGCCTGGATTGTTCTCAGTGCGATGTTCAAGAGTTGAGTGCAGCGGAAATTCGTTGGATAGGCGTTCAATATCAGCGCCTGGAGAACCAACTTGAGAGTGCTGAGGAGCGGCTGCGCAATGCTGCTGCGGAAGTAGAACGTTTGCGGAAGCAGAAGCGTCTGTAGTTTGAGAGGATGATGAAAGCTATTCGTCGGGATCTTTCCAGTATGGAGGAGTTAGAATGTGAGGAGGCTAAGGAGGAGCGGGCTCGTATTGCTGCTGGGGTTCGTTCTGTAGTTGCAGAGGAATCTGCTGTGATTGCTGGAGATCCTTCTTTTGAGGGTTTTGACTGGAATTCCGTGAATATGGGGAATGCAGTGGTGGATTGGTCTGGGTTTTTGGATGAGATGGTGGGCTCTGGGCTTCTCTTCGAGCTGGAGCGATTGTTTTAGATGCTAGCCTTCTTTTTCCAATATTCAGCTATCTTTTCCTAAGCGTTTTCAATGTTCTCCTGTGATTCCTATGAATTTTCACTTGCTAGGTAACCTTTCCACTTGATGAGGTATTTCCTTGTATTGTCTGTATCTCTGTGCTTGAGAATCTTCTCTACCTTATACTCTGGTTCATTGTTTTCCACTTCTGCTGTATTATCTGTTAGTATTTCCTGCGCTGCTAGTTCCAGCAGTGAAATATGAAAAACTGGATATATCCTTATTCTATGAGATAATATTAACTTGTAATTAATTGGGAAGATTTGTTGCAAGATTTTGAATAATTCTAACTTCTTATAATCGAGTTTGTTGCTGGATCTGATTATTTTAATGTTTTTCCGAAGTAGATAAACCTTATCTCCCTTCTATAGGATTAGTCTCTCAATCCTTTTGGAATTTGCATATTGCATTATTCGTTCTTGAACGAATTATAATTCTGATCGAAGTTCCTTCTGAACTTTCTTAATCTTCTTAATCCTTTTATCTGCAGCTTCTGCATCTGCTTCTAGCAGTGCTTCGTAATAAGCTGTTGGATTGTATCTATAGAGTACGAAGAATGGTAACTTCTTTATCATGCTTATATCTGCGCTATTATAAGCGAACTGCACGAAGAGCAACAGATTAATTCAGTTATTCTGTTTCTAGTTGATATAGTATTGAAGATACTATTTAACAATCTGATTCATTCTTTCTATCTATTCATCTATCTGCGGATGAAATGCTGTAAATATTCTATAATATATTCTGAGCTATTTTATGAATGAAGTTCAAAACTTTGAGTTGAACTTTCTATCTCTATCGGAGATTACTTCTTCTAGTATGCTGTAGTTAGCGATGATCGTTCTGAGGAATGCATATGCAAGTTTCTCTGCTGTACTGCTTTCCTTGTAAAAGAGAAAATAAGTATACTTGCTTAGTCTGCAAATCACTACTAGAATACTGTTGTATTGCATCTTAGTTAAGAGTTCTTGTAAGAGAAGTAGCTTAATAATGAAGTTTAGACTGATAGATTGCTAAACAGTTGTAAATACTGATAAGGAATGCAGTAGTTTATAAGGCTTATATCTTTCTGCCTTGTTTTTCTTGCAGCTATTGCATTATTATAGAATGCTCTTAATCCTTTTCCTAAAGCCTGATGAATTCCAGTATCTTTTGATATATTTATAGATTGCTCTAACTCTCTGATATTCGTATGCTAGTGCACTGTATATATTCTTGATATAATTATCTTATTCGTCTGGAATCATTGATTCTGGATCTTTTTCCGAAGATCCAATCCTGAAAGCAGCATTTAGTTCTCTATGCGCATTGATAAGATTTCCCAACTCATCTTGAGCAAAGATGTTCTGTATATCCAAAGAATCTGCATCTCAATAGTCTGATCTTCTGCTAAGAGCATCTGCTTATCTGTTCTCCAAGCTTTTGCAATATACAATCTTGAAGTTGAACTGTAAAAGAAATTCTACCCATCTGACTTATTGCTTATTTAAAACCTTAATCATCATAAACATAGTTAGATTCTTGTAATTCGAGTGAACTATAATCAGGTATTGTATGCTAATGAGATAGTATTGCTATTCCTCGAAGGCTTTTACTATTATCATAAGTTCCTGATTAGGAATCCTGTAGTTAATTTCCGAGCTATTCAACTTCTTTGAGAAGTTGCTCACAATTCTTAGATATCCTTAGTTATCTTGCTAACCAAGTTGTTCTCCGAGTGCATATCCTGATACATCAGTCTCAACTTCAAAGGGTTTGTAGGGGTCTGCTTTATATAGAACTGGCTCTAAGATAACGTGCTTGATAATCTCATCAAAAGCTTCTTATACCTTGGAAATCCATTCGAAAAGCTATTTCTTTTTGATAAGATTTGTAAGAGAATATGTAATCTGGCTGTAGTTCTTAATGAACTGCTTATAGAAGTTAATGTATCCGAGGAAAGATCTAATATCTCTAACATTCTTGGGAATTAGCCAGTTCTTAATAGCTTCTATCTTATTCTTCTGTAGCTTAATATATCCTAGCTTGATTGTGAATCCGAGATAGTTGACTTTTCGTATATGAAAGTAGCTCTTTGCGAGTTCTACAAGGAGTTTTGCATCTTGGAGCGTTTGCAATACTGTTTC